CCCTAAGCACTTCGGTTTCCCTGTGTCCGCTGTGCAGTGGCCAGGTACACGTGGCACTCTGTGTTGGCATCAGCACCGCCTAGACCAACTCGATGGGAATGTTTCGCAGCCAGAGCAAGGACGGCGTCCCAAGGACGGCGAGGTGTGATAAGTTGCGACGCTGAGGGGGGTGGGGGTGTTGGGTCTTGTGACATATTTATAAAAATACCGATTCAATACGACATTTTCGGGTGGGTAAGCAATTGAAACGCACTCCCGCGAAGTTAATTAATTGTTTTTTTAACTTACTGAAGCGTTTATACTACTCGATTGTGTTAATACTTAGAGAAATGAGATTAACTGATGCATTTTGCGCGATTTCTCGCTCATGCTAAAAAAATACGTCACAAGTGGGGGGGGGGGGGGTCAGCCGAACGTGACGAAGTTGTGATGAGGGAGGGGTGGGGGTCAGAAATGACCCAAAAACGCGTCACGTATTTTATGAACAGCCCCGGTGCCATTGAATAAACTTACCTGAGCTGCTTCGATGTCAAGGTCCGTTAGACGTAGGTGTTCCTGAACGTACACTGAGAATGAAAAAGTCATGATCAATACCCAATTTTGGGCGAGGTTTACTTTATCACCCGAATTTGGGCGAGGAAGGTATCCTGGCCCATACTGAACGAGGAAAGCTTCCACGCCCAATTTTGGGTGAGGAACACTGCAAGGAAAAGTGTGGATAGTACAACAAAAGTACAACAAAAACTGTACAATAAAAGTATAACAGGGATTGTAGAAAGTACAACAAAATTGTACAAACCACAACACCCCTGGACTCCCCAGCACTCGTCACCCGGGTTTCCGTTGTACTTTGTACAACAATTGTTGTACTTGAAAAGTACACCAAATTCCTGATAAAAAATTTGCCAGAAATTTGTGTACTTTTGTTGTGGTTATTTTCTGCAGTGAAGGGTGTATCAGCTCCCTATATAGCTCCATGGTATTATGACCCAAAATTGGGTGAGGAAACTTTCCTCACCCAAATTTGGGCATGTGGTTTCGTGGGTTTGAGGTTTCGTCTTCACCGCAGATGAGGCACAGGGGATTGACCCCTGTCCCACTGACCCGCACCCTTTTCCTTGGAATGAAGGCCCCGTCGTTCGGGTGCTACGAAGGAATGGCCCATGCCAAAATGCCTACAAAAAGGCCTTCGAATGGAAATGTCCACTTATTTTTTAGGCCTCCTAAGTAAGGACCAATGCATTCCAAGTCCTTCAAAGTAATGCCCGATATTTTTACAGGCCTTTTCAATATTGGTCCATGTAAAATGTGCTTTCATTTTGCATTCTTTATTGTTCATCATTTGTACTTGTCGTGTTTGATTAGACTGAGTCTGGCGGTTTTAATTTACTCATGTTGGATCACTCAATCAGGCTGAATTTTTAGGTTGTTGATACAGCCTCCAAAAGGATGAAATCCCCCCCACACACACACACACTGTATTCCTCACAGGTCTCTGCTAGACGATGAAGCCTTACTCAATACAGTGTATAGTCCAGGCAAACATTACAAAATTCCGGGATTTCCCGGACAAAATTGCTAACAAGCTGAAAGTTTGGGATTCGGTAGAGTTTATACTGTAGAATAACATATCCAAAATCCCAAAAAATTTATCGACCACATTCGCCGCAATCGGCGTTCAATGTTCAAAATTTTGGGTTTTCGAACACCGGCTATAACTTTTTACCTATTTGTCCGATTTCACTGCGGTTTCGCTTAATCAATGCAGAATCTAATGCTCTTTAACAATTATTAAAGTGTGTTTTGTGCTCAAAGCGAAAGTTTGCATGCAGCAAGACGAAAACTGAGAAAAACTGGAAGTAGCGTATGTACGAATTTTGGTTTTTTGAATTTTCCGGCAAAATGGGCGCGCGATTCTGAAAGTACCCTTTCCTATCCCTTGTAGTTCAGTCTTTTGCGCACAAAAATGAATAAGACATCTTTCAAGCTTGGTGGCACCGTTTATTGGCTACGGCAGCTGAAGCGGCGCTCCGCGCACTCCCGCCGTCCCGCCGCCGCCCGCCGGCTGGCCCCGCCGCCCGCAACACGCCGCGCGCCGCACAGCCCGTCGTGGTGTCTGGAGCCGCTAGGGACAATGTCAAGGTCTGGATAAATAAGGATGCTACTCTAGAACATCCCAATGAACAAGTTGAACAGCCACCCTGTTCAACTTGAACACCTGGAACACTTTTTATATTTATTAGTTTTAAGTTTTTGTTGTGCTTACGAATGTTTGATTAATCCTCATCGTCGAAATCTGGGGTGATGGGTTCAGGGACGTCGGGGTCATTGTCCGCGCCGTCCTCACAGTCCTCGCCGTCCTCGCCATCCTCGGCGTCTTCGCCGTCCTCGCCGTCCTCGCCGTCGTCGCCGACTCCGCCCTGGTTCACGGCGTCGTTGTCGACGTCTCCATGATCAGCCCGTACTGTCTCCGAGTTTGAACAGCCCGTGCCTGCACAGTGGCCACACATTTGGCTGCATTTCAGTCCATTGCGCCGGCATTCGCAGTTCGTGCCACACCCTGACCGACAATTGAGAAGCTCCAGACAAAAAAAAACCACTTGGTCGGCGACATCCTAGGAGCGGGCGCTTGTGGTGTTTTATCGGTTCCTTGTATGTATACGAACTGCCGAAAAGACACTTGGACGAAATCCGACACCCCCTGTGGCTTTGGTACGGGTCTAAACACCCCAAAAACAGCTGTTTTCGAGGGTTTGGGACTAGATGGGTTCTCGCAAACCGAGATCCAAAAAAGTACCCAAATGGGTCTCAGATACTCAAAAAAATGCGCTCTTTCGAATGCCGTGTCGAACGAGGCTCTACGACGTCGGGTTTGGATGCTACGGGCTCTCAAAGTTGCTCAATTTCACTATTTTTACTGAAGATTTGAGCATATGAGGGCCGTTTGAAGTAGATCATCGGCGATTTCGCTCCTCTTTGTCTTAAATGGTGCCTACCCATAGGTTAACACCCCCACAAAATTTCAGCCATGTCAGTCAATTATTAGAGGAACTGTGAACGATTTAAGTTTTGGGTCATTTTACCACTGGGCTTAGGTGGTTTAGGGTCCAGAAAAAATAATTTTTTTAGCTATCTACTTTTGATCAGCACCCCTTGAAACGCCTTTTTAACATGGTGCCTCAAAACTTCGAGGACAAACTTGTCTTTTTCTCCAAGTTATGTTCTAATTACAGCTAGAAAAAGACAAGTTTGTCCTCGGAAAAAAGTTTTGAGGCACCATGTTAAAAAGGCGTTTCAAGGGGTGCTGATCAAAAGTAGATAGCTAAAAAAATTATTTTTTCTGGACCCTAAACCACCTAAGCCCAGTGGTAAAATGACCCAAAACTTAAATCGTTCACAGTTCCTCTAATAATTGACTGACATGGCTGAAATTTTGTGGGGGTGTTTACACTGGTAGCCAACGAATGTGACGTCATATTCGTTCGAATGTGAATTTTGTCACGTTCGTTTGAATGTGATGTCACATTCGTTTGAATGTTGATCCACGTTCAAACGAATGTGACACCCTACTTAAACGGCCGAGTCACGTTCAAACAAATGTGACATCTTATTCGAACGAACGTGACAAAATTCACACTCCAACGAATATGACGTCACATTCATTGACTACCAGTGTACCTATGGGTAGGCACCATTTAAGACAAAGAGGAGCGAAATCGCCGATGGTCTACTTCAAACGGCCCTCATATGCTCAAATCTTCAGTAAAAATAGTGAAATTGAGCAACTTTGAGAGCCCGTAGCATCCAAACCCGACGTCGTAGAGCCTCGTTCGACACGGCATTCGAAAGAGCGCATTTTTTTGAGTATCTGAGACCCATTTGGGTACTTTTTTGGATCTCGGTTTGCGAGAACCCATCTAGTCCCAAACCCTCGAAAACAGCTGTTTTTGGGGTGTTTAGACCCGTACCAAAGCCACAGGGGGTGTCGGATTTCGTCCAAATGTCTTTTCGGCAGTTCGTATACATACAAGGAACCGATAAAACACCACAAGCGCCCGCTCCTAGGATGTCGCCGACCAAGTGGTTTTTATTGTCTGGAGCTTCTCAGACTGACCTGTCCGCACCACCTTGGCCCACAATTGTTTCCGACCCCAGATTACCAGCCGTCTCTGTCCCAAATCTACTCCACCAATAATTGTGGATTTATGGACAATGGATGAACTCGGTGGTTGCCCAGGCTTGCATTTGCCACGAAATTAAAAGAACTGCAACTGAGTCAGTGTTGGGAGGTCATTCAAATGGAAGTTAAGGTTATCACAGACTAGGAAAAGTGCATAGTTGTGAAAACTTTGGCCACATAAACGATTAATCAAAAAAGAATTGATCACAAATGTATGCAGTCAGTCTCGTCGCTCATGTACTCTTTTCACGAATTAAAACCACACACGGCACATTAGGGGTCCATTTTCACTGAAATGGTTTCTCCGATACTTGCATTACTAGGATTTCAGGCGGAAGGCCGATATCAAGTTCGCTTTAAGTCATATATTGGTAAAAAATAGCATCAGGGTCGCTGCTCTCAGCCAGCAGCCGACCAGCACCGAGCAGACGACACCTAGTCCCGGCGCAGTGATCTTCAGCCCGCGCCGACCAGACACCACTCCAGTAACAAATAGTCCTACTTCATGATTTTTGGCATGACTTTTGTGCCATGCCGTTTTTCTGCGTGACATTAAATTTACGCCCCTGCAGCGGCACGAAGTCACGCCGGTGGATTTTCTAAGACCCCAGCGGCAACCATAGGGGGAAATATTCTTAAAAAAAACTAAAAACCGCTGTTTTCCTCATTTCTACGTTACTTCCGTTCTATAACAGGATAAGGCGCTTTGTTTCACCGGCAGACAATGATCGATCATACGCGTCCGAGTCCGCGTGCCTGCCACGCGGATGTTGCCGCACGTCGTGATTTGCCCGACACGTTTACTGAAGCGAGTTTGCACACGCTCCGGTTTGTTGACATCCAACAGCGCTGATGATGAGTAGAGCAGAAGACAGTCAGACGTTTGCGAGGTGCGTTACTGGCTTGCGTTGCCTCCAGTTCGACCAGCCGTCCGACTTGCGAATCATTAGTAGCTCGTCTTCCGTGGGAACGGTTCGGAGCAGGTTAAGTTTTTTTTTAGAAACATAAGTTACAATTAATTTTCTTGTTGATATTTGTGTGTGAACTCTCTCTATTCTTAGTTATGCCTACACTTTTTGTTTCTGGGCGACAAACTCGTAAACCTTTGTCGTTTCGCCCAAGGTAACCCCCCACATCAAACAGAAATGGTACCGCACACTTCAGCTCGAAGCTATTTCAGTCTCTCCATGTGTTACGGACCAATAGGGTTCGAAGGAATAAGGAATTCGGTTCGTAAATTATGTGGCAAATTTCATCTTACTCTTTAAAAATAGAGTGAGGCCTGGCATGAAACTTGTCACCGGTAACCTCACTTCAACTTGGAAATGTAGTGAATGTATCGTTTCCTGTTTATGATGATTTACTTCCCAGAATCCATGGACTTGGAAATTTTTGATGCACGAGGACAACTTGGGAGGAATTTAGAAGAGTTGACATTACTAGCCTAGTACTTTTTGGACAACAGAATATAATAATAGTGCCTGGTGAATTTTTTGGACTCAGCTCTTTTTTCCTTTTAAGTTCTTAAAATGAAGGGGCTTAAGTTGACTTGATTCTTTTTACAACATGTATTCATTTAACACAAGCTGAGTTACCTCCTTCCGAATTTTTTTTTTATCAGATTGAAATTGTCTTTGGTTGAGTTGTTTTCGTATTCCGCCTAACCGAGACTGTAAAAGGCGTCGAGTTATATCTTTTATCGAAGTGGATTTTCTTCTTAACTGCTAGAAATTTAATAATTAGGTGCAATGATGCGATCTATTCCAGGGCACAATAATTCAACCCAATTTAGAGATAAGTCAAGTTATTCCCTTCTTCTGCTTCCTGGATCATTTGGCATGCGTTTCCAGTTAATGCTCGTCGTCTTCACTCTGGGTTCTACTAAAAATTACTAATCACACAAGAAGGAGCATCTTCTTAACTGGGAACATAACTTTTTCACATTATTCATAGTGCCCACTCGCCGCGAGGAAGGGAATTTAAGAAGATTCAAGACGATCTCTTTGAAATCAGGGACAGAAATCTTCACCGGCATGATCAAGAAAATGATGCCCGTTAAACCACGGCCGCGGCCAATCACAAGCTGTTTCACCATCCGGCGAGTGTCTAGATGTAAGTCGATCCCCAAGACGTAGATGATACTTCGAAAAACGATCTGTGTTTCACGCTGACCTGAACGCCTACACTGGTTGGTTCATCCAGAGAATAAATACGAGAAAATGCATTCTGATAAGACCCCATGGGCTCAAGGAAGGAACGTCTATAAATGTGGACAGATTTGGCACGTAAAAAACATTCCTCTATCTCCTGAGGCAGTCCGAAACGATGTGCGAAGAATCAATTTGATGCAATTTGGTGTAAACCTCGGCCAAGAGGCGTCCCGGCCCGGGAAAGCTCAGACTCCATGGCGCTCTTCTCTCATGTTTGGAATGACTTATTGCCCTTCGATAGCACTCAGTCTATGTATTTTTCATGTGGACTTGAAATTCGACCAGGGTTTTCCATTGGAGTTGATGTTCATCACTCTGCCGGCCAATTTGTTCCGTAAAGCGGTATATTGCCAATTTAAGCGAGTGTCGTGTACAAATTTTAACAAACATTTCAGAAGTAACTTACCTCCGTACATTTTAGATGTACTGTGGAAATTTACCAAGCATCTTCATAACTTTTCAAAGAACCTTCGAAATTAATAGGTCTAATAAATAAAGTATTTCGGCAAAATGAAATTTAGAATAAAATCCCACCAGTTCCTCTGTTGTTAATAGAGAATTCTAGACGTCGCCGATCGAAGAACAGGAGGAAGAACCAAACCGGTTCTGACGCTGGCAACATAACCTCGCAGACATATACGAGTGGATTAGTATGAGAGTTATTCGAAACGTGTCTTCTCCTAGAACACTTTTGTCAGTTCCAGATACTTTTTGCCTAAGGAAACAAAAATATTTGTTTGCATTTCTCCCTTCAACCTGGCTCGCCACCTACTCCCTTTCTGCCCGGCTCCCGGGTTTGTAATTTGTTCGGCGGTGACTAGAATGCTCTATTTACGAAAGCCCTTCGTAATTTTCAACAAACTTCTTAAATTTACGATTTGCCTTCGTAAATTTTCAATGAACTAACGTAAATTTACGACCAACTTCCGTTGATTTACAATAAGTCCTTTAGGAGAGAAACATTCACGGTACACCTTTCGACATTCCCAGCAATCCTCTTAATGTTCCGTCGTAAATTCACAATATATTGTTTACAGTGTTTGACATGCGCGCACTTGCCCCAGTTGCTGGTCGGAAGCACACCAATGGCGTAGCTGCGGACGGCCTGTGCGACGAAGAGCTGCTGTACTCCAAGCGACACCCGGACTCCTTCCTCAGTGTTGTCAGACACCTTCTGATCGTGGGCCACTACATAGGCGTACTTCCAGCCCCCACCAATTCAGGATGCAAGTGAGTAATAGGGTATTTGCGCGGATCCTAGACCGACGTGAGCAGACCCTATGTTGGCGGGACCACAACGGGACATGTTGTGACCGTGTGGGGTCTCGGTCGCTACATGGAGGGGCGGGTCCAGGAGTCTGATGCTGCCCGGCACTGCAAGAAAAAGTGTGGATAGTACAACAAAAGTACAACAAAAACTGTACAATAAAAGTACAACAGGGACTGTAGAAAGTACAACGAGAATTGTACAAACCACAACGAGCCCTGGACTGCACAGCACTCGTCATGCCGGTTCCATTGTACTTTGTACAACAATTGTTGTACTTGAAAAGTACACAAAATTCCTGATAAAAAATTTGCCAGAAATTTGTGTACTTTTGTAGCGGTTATTTTCTGCAGTGGGGCGATGACGGAGGGCACGCCGTCGATCCGAGACAGTGGAACGGAGACGCGGAGCGCCAGGAGGGCCTCCACAAGCTCCCCTATAATATACTCCACCCAGCCCGGGCCTCGACAGTTTCCAAACCTAGGCCTCGGGCCAAACTGTACACACAGCCTCTCACATTTTGCGAGTAATAGCTCAAGCTAATTCTTGGTAAGTTAAGTTCCATAAGTTCAGACGCCGCTTTTGTCTGTTTTAGTATATCAATGTTAATATCACCCACTATTATAATATCCTTATTTATATCAGTAAGATATACCAATCCACCAGTATTTCAAGAAATTCTGTGATGTTGTTTACGTTTGGCGGCCTATAAATACCAAGAATTACACTGGACCTCCCATTTCTTCTTTTTGTTTCAACGCCACACATTTCAATTACATTTTGTCTTGTTAGATCATCTAGATTCACTTCTTTATACTCAAAGTTATCTTTAATGAAAATACCTACTCCTCCCCCTCTATTCGATTTACTACCTCTACAATAGCTAGCCGCATATTTCAGATTTCCATATCTTACATTCAGTATTTCTTCTTTATATAACGCCACCTCAGTAGTCACTAGAACATCCGGTTGATGATCGTCTACCAAAACTTCAATCACATTTTTTTTTAAAACTGAGCAAACCTTACATTTTGGTGTACCACTATCGGTCCCCTCAGGGGGTGGAAACGGCGCTGATTTGGCGGGCCATTGCTGCGGCGATGCGTGCACGGCCGTTGTTTGTTGTTTTTTTGTGGTTCCTAGAAACCCACTTTCTAGCTAAAGTAGACATCTTATGCACAAATCCTGCACGTGTACTTCTAGAGTAATGTTGTCTCTTCGAGAAAATAAGCCCGTTTTGAAGATTTGAAACCCACAGGACGAGTCATGGACATGTTTTTAACTTGTTTTAAATGGCTCATCCGCGTTCGGGCGCGGCGATTCTGGCCTGAAAACGCCGAAAAAAATGTAAACAAGTTACAAAAATGTGAATATCTCATTTTGTAAGTATCAATTCGGCCCAAGGAGCTTATTTGCTGATCCTTCAACCTTACTCTTTAAGTACGCGTTGAGGTTTTGTCGTTAAGACGACTACTTCAGCTGGAAAGTGGTTTACCAACTAACGCGGTAAAGTGGTGAAAACGGCAAAAACGGCCGTGCACGCATCGCCGCAGCCAAGGCCCGCCAAATCAGCCCCGTTTCCACCCCCTGGTCCCCTACAGTCTTTGTTATTTCTTCTCACTTTCATAGGTTTTCTCCTCAGATCTTGCTGACTTTTTACAGTCCTTTTCGTCATAGATTTTAGAAATCCAGGTCGCTTGCTTTGTTCATCAATTAATGTTTCAATTATATTCTTCTTGTGCTGCATAAATCTTACATTTTGGTGCACTCTTAAACCACTATTCACTTCCTTGACACTTGTTCTATGTTGATCACCAGATTTTCCCCTAACACAAGATTCTTTTTTCTCCTTTGTATAGCAGGCTTCTGTGCGGCATTTTACAGTCCGCTTCGTCGGTTTTTTCAGAAATCCAAGTCCTTCTCATTGTTGAAGTCCCAGATTATGTTTCCAACTTCAGTAGCTAGGAGCCTTTTTCCCTCTGTATTTAGATGGAATTTGTCTCTATCGTAGTGTTCTTCTGTGAGGAATTCATTAACATCCAGATATTTTACATTGTATACATCCAGTTTTTCAGCTTCCTCCTTATAAACACTTTCGAGTTGCTCGTTGAACACCTTGATCATCGGATTGGCTCCCTTCTTGTCGTACCTGTATGGTACAGAGAGGATAGTCACCTTGGTTCTTCTTGCCTGAGATAGTATATTCCTTCTAGCCATTCTACTAATGTTAATGGTGCATGATCCATCTTCTTTCCCTTTTATGTCATTTGATCCAGACATTACTACTAGATTGTCCATTGGCTCCAGGTGTGCAGTAACTGAATTAATATTCTCTGCAATTTGTTTTGTGGATGCTCCATATTGGGTCCATGAAAGGATTTCCAAGTTGCCGTTGTTTGGGTCTTCTTCCATAAGTTTACCTATCATTCGTGAGTGGCTATCACCAACAATGGCTATACTTTTGGTTTTCCCTTGGTTGCGCTTCATAATGGTTTAGGTTGCAAATTTGGTGCAATAGTGGGATCCTCCTTTTTTCAAAGGTCAGAATGTCTAAAGAAAGCACAGTGAGAAGACGGTAAACAGTGAGTTCAGTTAGGAGAGCACTAACTCACGATTGACACGACAGGACTGACATAATATCAACTCTGCTCTTGGTTCTGGTTGTAGTTCTGGCTGAGGCCCTTTTGACATACACTGTTAAAAATCCACTGTAATATTACAAGACAATCACCTACAGTAATGCTGTTAAAAAACAGCAGTATTGTTTTGTGTCTGAACAGGAAACCCATCCAGAAACAGCACTTTCGTTTCATAACAATTTCCTTGTCAAGTAACAACAATGAAATCGTTATTCAAAATAGTTGAGTTGTCGTTGAACAGGTTTCATGTTTAGAAACAGCCTTTTGCAATCTTAAAACATATATTGTTGTCAGGTTACAAGGGTCTTGTTTAATAACAGCACGATGAAATCAACAAAAATGTTGGGAAGACATCGTCGAAGACTCCAAAGAAGTATTGTTTTATTACAATCGAACTGTCAGAAAACAGCACCGAGGGCTACAACATGCTTGTAATAAAACAAGTCGTGCTGCTATCAAACTTAACAGCAAAAGTGCTGTTAATTTACAGCACTTTTTTTAACAGTGTAACCCCTTAGAACCCAACTGCAACAGTGCGTGCGCTGCGTATTTTTAAACTGAATACATCGGTTAACAAAGTTGCCAATGTACTCAAAGCATAAGAAATTAAAAATGTTAGACTTACCCATAGCCTCCATTACGGTTCAGAGAGAGGCAAACACGGCAAACAACATATATCTAAGTCCGAGAGGCCTCGTCGTCGAATTGGCCAAACAAGTCAATCAAAGAGGTTAAAAAAGTGCTGCATGCTATGCGCGTGGGCTCAGCTCTCATCGGCGCGGAGGGGAGTGGGGGGAGATGATTCGATATCTCGACGCCCGACCGACCGACCTCCCTCCCGATGTGTTTCGGCGTAAGACGAGGCACCCTAGGTGCAGGGCGCGCGGCCGCGCCGACGGCGAAGTCCGAAGGCGGACCGCCTGAACGTCCCTCGGGCAATACGCAATTGACTTCGAAAACAGGCAATAGTTGATGACAATTTAGTCATTGTAATGAACATGACCACTATGATGAGAACGAACAACATGCGGTTACTAAGGAAAAACTGATTTTTAGTGCTGCTTAAAAGAACAAAGTAAGCACGGGAAAAAAGTCAATAATTAGAGGAATATACACTCAAATATGTATGGTCATGGTGCCCCACTAAAAAGTGGTCATGGCTCCCCACAATGCAGTTTACGACTCTAAGGCTCCCCGAGCAAGAAAAAAGCCACTTACAATTAAATGTGATGTTGGATATTTTGCCGGAGAGCCGACATTTTGAGAAAAACCTAAGACATCGAACTTACCTCCTCAAATGTGAGAGTGAGAAAAAATATCTCAGATTTGAAAAACGCCCAATTTAGCCAAAACACTGTAACAAAAATTTCGGCGGGGTGCTATGGTCGTACCCTTGAATCTAGAAGGTAGGGCTCTGGCTGAAAATTGTTAGAATTCTATTCTCTCGAAAGTCCGGTCGACCGGTTGCCGTCGGCAAAGTAGTTCCCGAGAGCGAGGGGGGTGGTCATGGTGCCCCAGTGGTCATGGTGCCCCACCCTCCCTTAAGTGTATTGTCAGTGCTATTTGGCTTTCTTCCAGGGGCACACTTCCTTTCAAATTCGGCTAATTTCGAAGTTTTGGATCATGCTTGACTCACTTGTACGTAGATATCGGACCATTAAATGTGTGGTACATTCTCATTTCACGGGATGAATTACATTATTTTGATTTTTACAAGAGGTCGCCTTCTTTAGGGGCGGCAAATCCGACATGTTGGAGATTTTTAAAATTCCTTAAAACATCTGTTTCTGTGACGCCAGTGCACTGCAGGAAATAACCACAACAAAAGTAAACAAATTTTGGGAAATTTTTTATCAGGAATTTAGTGAACTTTTCAAGTACAACAATTGTTGTTCAAAGTACAATGGAACCGGCATGGGGAGTGCTGTGCAGTCCAGAGCTCGTTGTACTTTCTACAATCCCTGTTGTACTTTTGTTGTACTATCCACACTTTTTCTTGCAGTGTGCTCCATCAATTGCTGGTAACTGTGACCTTGATTTGGCAACACTGACACATGTGTTGCAGATTCCGGTGGCTTTCGCTGCACGTCGTCTTCTCGGTGGGCGTGACTGCTGCGGTGGCGTTTCGCATCATCGTGTACCTGTACTGCGTCTTCGTGGGCTACATGACGTTTTTCGACACGGTTGTCTCAAGTGAGACTAGCTGCTTACCTAAATCTTGGAAACTCCACGCAGCAGAATGGACGCAGTGGACGTTTCGGACTTGGACTTGATAAGGACACCCCAGAAAATAAATATTGGGGAAGGAATTTTTGTGAATGGACGTTAGTTATAGATTTACGAGGAACCTTTGTGAAATACCAATCATATTGTGAATATTTCAAAGGTGCCTATTCGGTTACCTTTTGTTTAGAAGTACCTACGACAATGAGGTATTTTCCGATAGTGAAGAAGAGAAAGAAGAAGATGCGGCGGTGAGGGTAGAACATCACAAGCCCTCATTTGTTTGGCGGCCATGATGTCCCCCACCCACCCCCGCCCCGCAAGCAGAAGCACTGCCTAAACAAATGAGGGTTTGATATGTGCTACCCCCACCGCCGCACCTTCTTCTTTCCCTTCACTATCGCAAAATACCTCATTTATTGGGTTTCTTAGTACAGTGTTTACACCGGGCCCAACGTTCAAACTGAGTAGAGTTTTATCACAACACGTTAAATGTTTGTTTTTTTAAATATTTTTTAACATTTATGAAAGTAATCCAGCGCGCATTACTCAACGACATGTTCTCCTCTGAAAACCCAGACGATCTCTTTCGTCTAGGGAAAGCAACAATTGGCTTTTTTACTCGTTCTTTACACCCTCATTTCAAAATTTAGGTTAATGTGAAGACACTGAAAATCAAATAGTGATACATCTCACTCTCTGAGGGATGAGACATAACTGTCTCACCGAAAAAATGGTGATACTAAAATGTATCACCGAAAAAATAGTCGTACACGCATGTATCATCGAAAAAATGGTCGTACACGCATGTATCACCGAAAAAAAGGTCGTACACAAATGTATCACCGAAAAAAGGGTGATACTTCCCCAGGAAAACAAGGGCCAATCTCGCTCATGTCTCACCGTTTTTTCGGTGATACATTTCTGTACTACCCTTTTTTCGGTGATACATGCGTGTACGACCATTTTTTCGGTGATACATGCGTGTACGACCATTTTTTCGGTGATACGTTTTGTATCGCCGAAAATTGGTGAGATGTCTCACCCTTCGAATTTCAGTGGAGAACGAGTATTGTGCTCAAAATCGGTTTTTGTTAGCTACATGATTCAACTCGCTATGCACACAAGGAAAACCATATGTAATGTACTCATTTGAAAGATCAAAGCCTCCTCTTTAAGGCGTAAATGAAGTATTTTTCATTTCACTATGAAAGTTTTTGAGCAAATGAAGATTGAAAATGTTTATTAAAACTGGCTGGTGTCTAGTAATGAGAGGTTATGACACTTCGTTTTTTCGTGATTCATATCGAATTGGCATGTGCCATAGCAAAAATCCACCTCCCTGTGCTTTGTTTAACATTTCTCATTTGAGGATTATCTCTCTAAGCAAACAAACGTTTAAAATATCTGCAGTTTTTCAACCTTCCTTTGGACGGCCTGCCGCTAACATCGGCGACCCGTGGCGCCACCACGCGGATTTCAAACGAACTACTGTAATGGCGGTAGAGTTTGAACGTACTTTCATTTCGAGCTTAACAATTATTTAACCACCTGGCCACTTTTGATAACCACTAGACATCCTTCATTCACAAAAAAAAATGTGTAAAGAACGAGTCATTTATTTAATATCAATTCATTGATATTTCGCACCATCCTTTAAACTTTTTTTCTTTACTTCTTGTTTGTCGTGTTAGTAGCTTTTTAAAATCCTAAAACCGTGTATTGCCCATTGATCTGACGACAGTGTATTGTATTGCAGCGAGAATCGGTTTCACTGTGCTGGGCCTGCTCATGTTCGTCACGTACATTCGACTGGCGTCCAGGTGGAGGAAGTTTGTTGTCTGCTTCCTGAGAATAGAGCACCGGCAAGGGTCGCTGGAACCGGCTGGGATTGCGCCTTCCCTCAGCCTCCGCAGGCGCGTCGTTTTGATGACAATGGCGACCCTCGCACTTGGCTTCCGTACGTATGCGGCCCATGGCGTAAGCCAAAAGAACCCGACCGCTCCGGCCGGCTCAGGCTGAGGTTTTCTGTTCACAGCGTCTAAACCGTTCAATTTGGAGGGGTATAGTAAGCGAGCCGATTGTTCCTTGCACAGAGACCTACAATCGGCTCGCTTACTATACCCCTCTAAATTGAACGGTTTAGACGCTCTGACCAGAAAACCCCAGCCAGAGCCGGCCGGAGCGGTACCTGGTGGACCCTTTTATAGAGTCTCAACCGTCTTCTTGACACTGGCACGCATGGTGTACACGGTATAAACGGAACCGGGTTTTCCCAGGAAGCCAAAGGTGAGGGCATAGGCGATTTCCAGGGAGTTCCTGGGAAAACCAGGAACAGTTTTTCCCGTGTATAAATAACACAAGGTAGGTGTGCGCCAGACCGTGGTGGCTTGTCGTGGTCGTGACAGGCTTCGCGATGCTGTGCCATTTCCGACATTCCACGCATGTGCTGTAGAGTTACAGGGTTTGTTTGATCGGATGTCAAAATGGACTCCATTTTCCTCATAAGCACCCTCGATACACACGGGAAATCTATAATAACAGGAAAAGTTGACCCTTGTTTAGGTCTGAATTTTATCGGAAAGAGGAGGTAACTCAGCCGAAGTCCACATAACTCCATTGCACAAAATAGCAAAAGGAGATAACTGAACTTGTATCTTTATGAATCTTATGTGAAAAGAATCAACGCAACTTAACTCCCCATCGTTTCTTGGAAAAAAGAGGTAACTCCAATCACAGACAGACTCTACGCAGACCTCAGCTCCACTTGAATTTTCTCCAAATTCCGCCTTGTTTGGGAGAACTAAGTAAACATGGTTCCGTAGTCCATTCCAACGTAAAGATTTCAATCACAGAAACCGCCTACAGAGTGATGCCACACTTTTGAAAATTTTCAGTTAATTCTTAGGTTTTCTTGACAAAAATCTAATTGCGTCATTCATCTGATTGGATTACGTTAAACCAGCAAGCAGTTTTTTTTGTCTCTCCTGGATGAAAATTGAGTTATCCCCTTTTTCCGCCTCATGGATCAATTATACGTGAGTTTATTTATAATTGCTTCTGAAAATTATGCCAGCTGATATTATGAAAATTACAACTAATTATTTCAACCGTGTCTAATCCTGTGTTTTCATGGCGCCAATAGACAGTAAAATGGCATTTCTTTTGAGATGAGTTCACACTTGAAATGAAAATGCAAGCACGCAGATGGGGTGCTCTAAAAGAGCTCTGGCCCGGAAGGAAAACTACAAAATACGTGATTTGGAGAGGACAGTCTCTATGAGAAACATAAGCTGCGGATGAGCTCTTGACCTCATCGGCCGCGTACATTTCGTACAGAAACTGTCATTTCTCTCGTTTTTGCTGTCATTCCCAGAGCTTCGTTGGAGTATCCTATCCGTATGCCGCTGAAAGCTCTGAGCGAATGTGGCATCGCTTTGGACTGAACAGAGGAATGTAGACAATGTCTTATTGGTTCACAGTGGAAGTCTTACTGCAACAGTTCACGTTTCCCCTGAGCCGTGACCTCGACGAGTACGACTCCTTCAGCGACATTCTAGCAGACCACTACTACGGCCTTTTTAACCACGTAAGTGTTGTCTGGGGGGAAATGTGCAAGCGATCTAGAGGTGTCTGTGGGGCCAATCCAATACTGATTTAGAGCCGACGGGAACATTTATTTGCGTAGTAAGGAACTCTAATGCTATGAACGAAAGACGATTGCAACGCGACTAGTTTCTTGAAATGGCGAGGTCATACCAAGCCAGTTTAACATTCTTCTGCGAGTAACCTTTCTATTTCAACAAAATTTTAAGGCTTAGGTCCAACCACCTATTTCTATCGAAGAAAGACGTTAAGGATGGATGCTCTGACTCAAACATGAGCATTGTGACCCAGGCACCGCTGCACAAAGCACAGGAGCGATTCAAATAGCAGCAAACATAAAGTACATTACACTGCAAAAAATTCCGTATTTTTGAACGGAAAATGCACAGACAGCTAGCTATAGTACGGAAGTAGGTAACGTCCGTACTTGTCCCTTAAGAACTCATGTAATCGGACACGGAAAAATAGTACAGAAGTTCCGTAGCGGCAGGTACGGACGGTCCAGGCAATTTCGGCAAATTGTTGAGTTGACATGTTCCGTACTTTTTCTGTACTTTTTTCTCGCAGTGCAACGCAAGATGACGCGACTTTTCTTGCGTGCCCAAATTTCAATGTGTGAGATGTACACTCTAATGCCGGAGTGCCCAGAAACTGGGCGCCTTTGTCGCCTGCCCCACTTTTTAGGGTGCCAAATGTCGACCAGTTTCTGGGCACCTTTCTCGCCTAGTCAGGGGGTGGACAAACAATTAAGTAACCTGCCTTCACCGATAGCTCAGCAGCGCTCAGGGTGCCTAAGGTGCCCAGAATCTGGGCACCTTAGTCGCCCAGGAACTAGACACCTGTACATGCTCTATCATGGGAGAGAGCCAGTTATTGTATGATTTGTCAACCCCGAGACTGGGCCACAAAGGTGCCCAGAAACTGGGCGACATTTGGCACCCTAAAAAGTGGGGCGGGCGACAAAGGCACCCAGTTTCTGGGCACCCTACATTTAGAGTGTATGCGTTGTGCTCACCAACTACTTCGCCTCGCCTGACCTCCAGATCGCCACGGCAGTGTCTTACAATCCAGCAGTGCTCTTCGCTGCCGAGTTCAGCTCTGCGGTCACAAACTTCGTGCTCAACTACAACGACCTGTTCATTATGATTGTCAGCATGGTCATTGTCCGACGTTTCAAGCATCAGCGCAAAATACTTGCGGTAAACTGTTTTAAGGTGAGAGACTCTATAGGGTGCTCTAATGAATCTCACTCTAAATGTCTTACGAAGAAATTTCCCATATTACGAAGGAAATGGCGCAAGCATAATACGAAGGTGGTTTTCCTTCGTATTACGAAGGTTTTTCTTTGTATCTTATAATGAAAAAGCTAAAAAGATTCGTATTACGAAGGAATATTGCTTCGTGTTATGCTTGCGCTGAATTCACTGTAACATACGAATAACATAGGTCAAATTTCATTGTAAGACATTTAGAGTGCTCGAAACGGAATAAAAAGAACAAAAGTAATCCCTAAATACAGCATCTGCGCATGCATAGACGTTGCGCAGAAGCTGTTTTTGTTCTGTTTCTTCTGTTACAAGATTCATTGGAGTTCCCTATTACAGGGGATCACACACTTCCACTCACACGTGTTATACTATGCCTGCGTCGTAGTAACAAGCAAGAAGAAGAGGAAGAGTGGTTTAAAAACTACAACTCTGTGCATTTGTGTGTTAATGGAGGACTCGGCGTACTGGAAATCAGCCCGTGAAAGGTTCCACGACCTGAGTGAGCTGACGCGCGAGGTGGACCAGCACGTCAGCGTGCAAGTGCTCCTGTCCTGCCTCAATAATTTCTTCAGCATTTGTATACAGCTGCAGCACGCCGTCAGGTACGTTATCAAGGGCCGATCCAGAAGCGGATGAAGGGGCCAGGGAATGTCGCAAGGATTGCCGTGTTCCGGTGCCGGGCAACTGGAGCAAGGTGCGACTTTTGTCGACTTTAAATGAGGCTTCGCCGCCTGCCTATTTTGTGCCGGGAGGGGGGGGGGTCCTTTCCTTGGGATCCACACCTGCTTCATCAGCTCAGCCGGGATACTACACTGGTAAAACTAAAGCGTATTATTACCCTCTGTTTTCAAGCGTAATCAGGTTACGCTTGAAATCAAACGTAACAGGCTCATCGGCAAAGATTCCCCCATAAATGCATGCCCCTTCCAAATGGAAAATATATGGGCACTATATGGACAAAATATATGGCCCAACGTGTATAGACGACATATGTGGAAAAAATAATTTAGCAAGATACTTTTCCGATATAAAAAAATATGTGGCAAATATATACATTTCATACATTGCTCTATATGTAGGCAATATATAGTGCGATTACACCATGGAGTCTGACGACTCAGAGACTTCCTTTACTATTATCAAAGAATGTAACCTCGCCATGCGAGGACATACAATCGTGATCCTAACGTGGTCGCTTAGACGAACTTTTTGTGCTACACTCAAAAAAGACGTTTAAAATTTCCTAACTGTTCCAGTTAACTTGTTAAACAGGATTTCTCAAAAAAATTTGGAGACTTAAACGCATAGAAAAGAACCTTGCCCCTGCTCAATATATGGCGTCAATATATTTTACAACATAAAATCATGTTGAGAAATATAGCCGCCTTTCAACATCGAGTGCCAAGATTTTAAGAAAAGTTACTTGAAAAGTCTGCCCTCCTTACCCTGCCCCATCCCACGACGGGCACCGTGTCAGATATTGAAACATACATTTCGCGAAGATAATATTATATGGGGAAATATATGCATCATATATTAACGGGCACCAAGATATAGCCCCATATTTAAACCACGTATTGCGCAAGATAATTTGCAATATATTGAGCAAGATACAATTATATTGGCAATGCATGAAACATATATGGAGTCATATATTGACACATATTTTCCATGTATTTTCCTTTTCGCAAGGGTGGGGGAATTTCCAGAGTATGCTTCATTTCAAGCATGACTTCTTTAAGCGTAACTTTATGCTTGACTCAAGCATAGAGTTACGCTTTATTTTTACCAGTGCTCGTGGTGTGTCGGGGGACGGGAATTAAGACATTTCTTGAGAGGCAAGAAAGGGAAACCTTACAAGGAGCGAACTTTATTTAACACCTTCGGGCCGAATTCGATGGTTCTCGTACCGGAAGGTGTTAACAAGAATAACAGAATAGACAGTTCTTCCTTCGCTCAAATCCATAAGGATGAAAAATCGCAGTAAATCAGAGTCTCACAGATAAGGAAAACCATTCCTTGAAATAATTCGTCGCTTGGAATATCTCGAGTAAAATTCCCCACCCCCTTTCTTCTCCTGGAAACTGGGAGTTCGCCCATAAACAGTGCGCGATCACTTTGACCGGCCGTCAGGCATCACGGCAAATAACGCTGGATTCAATTAGATGATGTTCTTGAAATTTGCACGAGTCTTTGGACTATACTTCACAATGTTTAATTATCATAATGTCGTCGGGAATGAACTGATTGGCGGATTGACTGCAGGAGGGGTGATAACGTAGAGAAACCGGGTCAAACGGGACGCGCCGGAGTCTCCTTTTAGTTAAATTTTTTCTTATTTTGATTTCCAGCCCTCCTTTCGGCGCGCCTTGTGTCCTTCGCCGGATGTACTACTGCTTTTCGCTCCTATTCGTCGTCGTGCGCTCCGGGGCCGTCATGTTCGCAGCGTCCAGCATTCCCGAGGAGAGCAGGGCTCTGAAGAGAGCGCTGTACTCCGTGCCATCGAATCAGTACACCGCGGAGGTAGAGCATCCCTTCCCGAATCTTCACTCTAACTGTCTTGAGAAGAAAATTCCCATAATATGAAGATAGTGTTTCTTCGTATTACCAAGGTTTCCCCACGGGCAAATCACTGTGAATTTTGGTATACAAATCCAATGAATTTCAGTCGAATTTCAATCAAATTTAGATGAATTTTCGCGAATTTCAGTGAATTTTAAATGTTTGATGAATTTTGGTGTACAAATTTGGCTAGAGTTATTTCCCTTTGGGGTTTCCTTCGTGTCTTACAATGAAAAAGCTACAGAGATTCGTATCACGAAGAATTGCTTCGTATAATGATTGCGCTGAATCCACTGTAACACACGAATAACACAGGTCAAATTCCATTGTAAGACATTAAGAGTGTTGGAAATTTTTCGAAATGTTTTCGAACTGTTTGCCCTACGGCAAACTACAAGTTGTTTCATGTTGTGGCCCCACACTTCGAGCCGTCGGACATGCTGCGGTCGACACTTGCAGGGGCGTGACACTGTGTGGTCGACACTTCTAAGCGTCGGACACATCTGGTTAACACTTGCAAGCGTAGGTCAAACTGGTCTTCACCAACAAGTGTCGACTTGTCCCCCATTTGGATTTGCAGTGTACTTTTTGGTACAAATCGAGTATTTAATCCGTTGTTACACCGTTTCGTCGTCACGTTCGTGACTGTGTGAATGGCGTTACGTTCGTTTGAATACGACAACCTTCCTGCGTAGGTTACGAGGATGTCGTTTCCATTTCAACATGGATCAACATTCAAATGCACTCTACAAACTCAAGTGTGTACATTGTACACTCCACCTGGAGTCAACATGCATGTGCACTCCAACCTGGAGCATACCTGCAATGTACACTCCAGCCTGGAGCATACCTGGCATGACATTCCAACCTGGAGCATACCTGCCATGTACACTCCAACCTGGAGCATACCTGCCATGTACACTCCAATCTGGAACATACCTGGCATGTACACTCCAGGTTGGAGTGCACTTGGCAGGTACACGCCAGGTGGCGTATACCTTCAGGCACACTGTTGCTGAAGCTTCCTATTCTTTTCTTTGCGGGCTAGACCGGGCAGCAGTGTACCTGCAGGTATGCGCCACCTGGCGTGTACTTGCCAAGTACACGCTAATCTTGAGTGAACATGCCATGTATGCACCAGGTCGCGGAGTGTACATGCATGTTGAATCCAGATGGAGTGTACTATGTACACACTTGAGTTTGTAGAGTGAATGTGACATAATATATTCAAACGTGACACTACTCAGTTCACCCCTTTCTAACGAATGTGACGTCACATTTATGGAAAAACTGTGCTATCAGCATGGAGAATAGAATCCTTCCCGTGTATTCTCCATGGTTGTAAGAGCCGATTATAGGGATCTTCTGGCACTTCCGGAGACAGCCGAAGCTGTTCGGGCCGCATATTGCCAGTGCCATTGTTGGATCTCTCTCGCGGTTACGATTGTCGGGACCAGGGGCTCCCGCCAACAATCACAGGGGCCCTCCGCAGACGGTCACCAGCTGCCCGACAGCGCGGACGCTTATGCCAGACCTACAATCACTCCTGATCGACCTTGCACCCCGAGCACCTCCCTTCAGCAGGGACCTACCGCCACCCGAAACGCTACACAATACTGACAACAGTGAGAGGTCTGCTCCCTCAGCTATCTGCTGCAACCACTGTGTCTGTGGAGACGCCGGTTTTTGGCGTCATGAGGCTCCCTCATCCACACTTGCGTGAACAGAACACACACACAGAGCTGCTTAGAGGCATTTTTTTTAAGAAGTCCGATCGTGGAACACGACCGATGCCGATTTCCTCCATTTTTTGGTCAAAGGTAGTCCTTGTGGGTCTAAGAAAGGCCACAAATTTTTGGGGCCGAAATATGCACCGTTCAGATTCTATGGGCAATTTTCGTTTTCTCTGACAACTTTTCACATAATATGGCCAAAATTGAAAAATCACCTTTCTGAGGCCTCTATGCACTCGATTGAGCTCAAAATGTGGTATCTTATGTAAAATCACACGAGGAACACGAATCCGGTGTCCGTTTGTTGATAGGACAACCCAAACAGATTTTATGACTTTTTTTTCGGGTTTTTGTAGTGGTTTTTACTTTTCTTGGGGTTATGGTGTTCGGCATCGATTTTCGCCAATCCGATGAGTGGATTTTATAGATAAAGGACCAATCTATCATACTACGAGATAAAAAGTTTGTGTACGCCGCGTGAAAAGCAGTGTCGCTGCAAAAATTGAAAAACCGTCATTTCGGGGAGTTTTAGATCAGATAAGCCACCTTTCGCGTGACCTCCCGCCCCATATTCAGTCTAAATATTGCCCCAAGTGATGTCAGGTTGGTGTGAAATTTCACCGCTGTAGCTCAAGTAGTTTAAAAATGGCAGCTTTCTAAAGTTTTGCAATCACGTAAGGCTTTTACTTTAAGTAGAATTGCGGTAAATGTGAAGACTTGTCACAGATCGGGTAATAAATGAGATGGATGAGTGCGTCAAAGTTCTCTAAGCGAAATTTTTGGACAAGGAATTCGATTTTGCCGGTACGAAGACCCTAGGTGTACTCTAAAACTACGTTTTCGTGCAAACCACATAAAAATGGCCTTTTTTCCAACTTCAGAGTTCTTCACATTTACCCCCAATTCTATTTAAAGGGGGAGGTTCTGGTGAAAATCTGCCTTTTTCCAAATGGATCCTACAGTCATAATTTGTCGGAATATAAAATTTTCATTGGGGAGACTAAAATTTGACTTTTTAAGGCACATGCCAGGCTGTAAACCCGGTCGAAGAGTCTTTTTGAGCCTATTTTGGGGTGTATCTTAAAAAATCTCCTTGCGCATACTATTTTTTCGTAAAAGGTTTACCTTGACATTTTTCACTTCTTCGATCATTTTCAAAAGATTCCGGCATGCATAGCTCAAAACTTCCATTATATTTTTAATTTTTAGCTTTTTAAGCTGAAAATCCCTAAAATTTTTCTATTTTGTACATTTTTGATCAATTTTTGTGAAATGCTTGGTTAGAAAGCTTGCGATAAAAATGCAATTGACATTTTGAGATGGGCATGCCGGCATTTTTAAAAAATGAATCGAAGAAGTGAAAAATGTCTAAGCCCAAACCCTTTTTCGACAAAATAGAATGCGCAAGAAGATTTTTTAAAATTATAGCCTAAATGGGAGGAAAAAAGGGTCTGCGACTGGATTCAGGGCATAGAATGTGCCTCCCCCAAAGAAAAATTTTTAAAAAATACTTGATAAGAAATTTAAAATTTTTTAAAAAATTTTTACAGTGGGCCCATTTAGGAGAAAATAGCATTTTTACCAGAACCTCCCCTTAAAGTAAATGCCTTTCGTGATTGCAAAATTTAGAAAGCTGCCCTTTCCAAACTACTTGAGCTACAGCGGTGAAATTTCACACCAACTCTGACATCACTTAGGACAATATTTAGACTGAATATGGGGCGGAGACGGTCACGCGAAAGGTGGCTTATCTGATCTAAAACTACCCAGAAATGACGGTTTTTCAATTTTTGCAGCGACACTGCTTTTCACGCGGCGTACACAAACTTTTATCTCGTAGTTTATAGATTGGCCCCTTTTTCTTTAAAATCCACTCATCGGATTGGCGAAAATCGATGCCGAACACCAAAACCCCAAGAAAAGTAAAAACCACTACAAAACCTGAAAAAAAAGTCATAACATCTGTTTGGGGTTTTCTATCAACAAACGGGCACCGGGTTCGTGTTCCTCGCGTGATTTTACATAAGATATCACATTTTGAGCTCAATCGAGTGCATAGAGGCCTCAGAAAGGTGATTTTTCAATTTTGGCCATATTATGTGAAAAGTTGTCAGAGAAAACGAAAATTGCCCATAGAATCTGAACGGTGCATATTTCGGCCCCAAAAATTAGTGGCCTTTCTTAGACCCACAAGGACTACATTTGACCAAAAAATGGAGGAAATCGGCATCGGTCGTGTTCCACGATCGGACTTCTTAAAAAAAATGCCTCTTAATTTTTCGGCAATCAGTGAACGCCTTGCGGCAAGTGAGTGCGTGCCCGGATTCCTCTCCATTCTTGTAACAGGACGAAATGTGCCTCAGAAAGTTGTCTCTTTTCCAAGCATGCGCACAGGCATAAAGTGTTCCTAGGCCAGATGGCCCCACGTGACGTTGTGTCGAAATTAGTGTTTCATGTGACGCAAGACATAGACTTGCCGGTAGAGCTGGCAACACAGACAAGTGAATCGCCAAAATGTTGACAAGGGGAAATCACTGTGAATTTCGGCGTACAAATGCAATGAATTTCAGTCGAATTTCGATGAATTTCAGTTGAATTTCGAAGAATTTTAGTGGAATTTCGATAAATTTTAATGAATTTCAGTGAAGTTTACATGATTGATGAATTTCGGTGGACAAATTTGGCTGGAGTTATTTCCCCTAGAGCCATGGTGCTCGCGGTGTCCGGTGCCCAATGCGCCCGAAAGAATTTGTGGAAGGGCCTGCATGAATGTTTTTCTGAGTTTCCGTCGGATTGTACCTTTCGTACTTGCGTTTGCACAGCGCGTTTCAGTACCTGGTCGTGGAGGCGTAGCCTGGACAAAGGTCTGCAGCGGAGAGACGCTTGGAGACGTTTGCTGAGGCGGAGAAGCTCTTAGAGGCGCAGACCTTATGCCTCGCAGGTCGCAGGAATTGCTTCCCGTTCCTCCTCCGTCTCCATGTTCGGCACCACGGAGGAAGGCATTGTGGAGGTGATGCCCGATGTAGACTAGAGCTTCATAGTTCTACTAAAACTGTGAGTGTCGTTTCTGGACAACTCGGGGCAACTGGAGTTCAGAGATCAAGCCATGTTCGAAGCTGAACCAAGACTAACATTTTATTCTGTCCACAATTACAGGAAGACATCTGATTACACTATATACAGAACAACTGCTTGTTTGCTGTAACACAATTACTATTCACAGTACAGCAATGCCCACCCTCATGGGCTGCCCGAACATGGCCTGGTAGGGCGGCACGCCGGTGCTCTGGTGCACGGCTCTGTTCTTCTGGTTGGCCACCGAGTCCAGTCCCCACTCCCTGGTGCCGTGCTGACGCATCCAAGCAGTGAGCATGTCCTGGACATCGCGGTTGGCTCTTTCGACGCTCCCCTGGCTTTGTGAATGTCTGGGAGTTCCTGCAACGAAATTAGTCAGTTATTAATTTAACAAAATAATGTCAATATGGCATTATTGGCATTGGATTGCCTGATTTTCTCTTACCGTGCACTAACTTCAGCTCTGGCCATGTTTCCTTGAGCGAGTTGATGATCTCGCTGCAGAACTTCCGCCCACTATCCGATTGAAAGATGCGTGGGGCACCAAAGCACAGCATGATACTAAGGAGGTTCCATCCAACCTCGTCACTGTGCTTGTGGGTCAGCGGCCGCAGCCAGGTGAACTTAGTCAGGTGGTCTTGGACTGGCATGATAAATTTGTAGTCACCGTTTGGAGATGTCTGCCAGTCGATCAAGTCCACCTACCACCGGTCATTCATTTCCTTGAAGATGATGGGCTTTACTGTAATTCCCCTCTTCTGAACTTCTTTTTGTTAAGGCAGATGCCGCACAGGCCAACAAAGAGGAGGATGGCCTCGGTGATATTTTCGTGGGTTGGGGCCAGGTGATAGACCATTCGGTTCTTCCCTTCATTGTAGCTCTGCGCGGATGTTCTTGTGGACAGACTCACGCTCCTTGCTTATTTGCTTGCCTTTGAAGCAAAGCACGCACAGGATCTCACACACACACCCCACGTCCTGGTTGTTCCCTTATGCAGATCCCTGCGATTGGCTGTGCCGCGGAGAACCGTGGACTATCTTCAGAGTCTTCACATGCCACGGAGGGCATTCATGACGGAATTTGAGAATTCCCGGCCGTTATCAGATTTCAGGATACACGGCGTCCCGAGGAGACAAATAATGTCCAGCACGTGTCCCTCGACTTTCGCAGCTTCCTTCTTTTATGGCTCTTTAGACACAAAATTTTGTCAAATGGTCGTACACCATGATGTGCCGGTACCGCCGGTACCGGTACTCGCCGTACGGTTTTGACTGCATGTCGATCAGATCTACCTGGCAGCGACTGTGCATCTGTTAGTGAATAATTGGCTTCAGGCATTCTGCTTCTAAATGCAGTTTTCGCACAGAGGCGGGAAAATTGTCTGTGCCTCTTGAGTCACGTTGCTGTTCCTAGACATAACAATTGCACTTCTGACGATCTAACCAAACCTACACTGACTAAACTTACATTTTCTTCACTTGCTGGTCTAGCCGATGTTTTCCGCCGTTGCCCAAAGCGATGTGAGCCTCTTATCGACGCGTCCTAATATGTGGAATAATCCTAAGAGACTATTCTAGTCGTCGTCGACTGAACAACAAGAAGAATCAAATAACCGGAAATAGAGTAGATCGGGAGTAGGGAGTGATCCTGGTTTAAAGGAATAATGCTAACAAATATATTTCTTTTCTTTGCCAAAAAGTATTTGACACAAGCTAAATTAGTTTTGAAAGAGTGTCGAATCGAAAAACTTTTTAAATGATGTAGTCGGACGGGTGAGTGAGGTTAAGTTGCCGGCGCCATTTCCGGTTTTGTGATTCTTCTTGTTCTTCAGTCGGTGACGACTAGAATGGTCTATTATTAGAGCAGATCCAAGACAATCCTTACTGTCAGAACAGATCCAAGGCAATCCTAACTGTCAGTGCTTATTTAGAACTATCTTAACTGCATCGGTACCTTTAAGTGTTATGAACTATCTTCACTGCAAATCAGTGAATCTCGGCACCTCTAAAATTAATGTCCGCGTATTGGTATCGGCAAATAATTTTATAAAATATGTTGGCGTTACGGACTTTGAGAAGAGACCTCTTCTGAATTGACAGTAACAGTTAGGATTGTCTTGGATCTGCTCTTGAAGTTAGGATTGTCCTGGATCTACTCTGGAAGTTAAGATTATTCTATTAGGAAGGTTCAGGGAAGACCCATACCGCAATTGAAATCAATTCATGGATACACTGCAAATCCAAGTGTGGGACAGGCATGCACTGACGTGGGACAAACTGCCCCACGCTTCCAAGCGTGGGACACGGCTTTGTCCCACGTTAAGTAGTGCATGCCTGTCCCACACTTGGATTAGCAGTGTATGTAGCGGCCCGTCACAAAAATTGGCCCGTGATTGATTCGTGAGCCACAATTGATTTTTTGCCTTACTGTGACGGTCCGACATTACCCAGTCACCCTTGGGTAATGTCCAGTCACGCCGGGTAGATTTTGACGGACGGACATTACCCGCAGTGCCCTCTGGGTAGTCTCCGATCTGTTGGACATTACCCGGGTAATTTCGACACTCCCAAAAAATCGGATATTACCCGTAGCATATAGAGTTCTTGGCGAAACGAACACCCGGAGTCTAAATTCCTCACACTTACACATGGGGTTGTTTGATATGTTACAAGGTCCGGTCGAGCGAAACAATCAAGCTCCACTATGTAACTTTCGTTCTTCAACATTGTCTAGCCCGAAAACGATTTTGCCTGGACTATTACCACGTAATTTATTCTCTCCAACAGACTCAACGGTTCTTGACCCAAGTGATCTCCGACGACGTCACCTTGACTGGCCTGGGCCTCTTCACGATCAACCGATCTTTCATACTCAGGGTGAGTGAGGACCGACCCGAATGCCGGTCATCTCGCGGTGCAGACGATGTGTGGCTCATTTGAACATGCTTCTTTCCTGACAGATAACTTTGTACTTTTTTGTGCATAGCTTGGCACGGATTTGAACGTGCGTTGGTATTGCGAGGTACACAAAATCGTGCGTAGCTAAGCGTGGAAATGTGCATTGTTGGGCAGCACCTTGTCCGTTTGTCAGCACTTATTCTTGTATTTCACACTGGCAAAACTAAAGCGTTACATTGCCCCTTTCTTGAAGCGTGCCAGAGCTCGTACGCTCCGTTCCTATGGAAATCCTTGGAAGCAATTTCCGAGACTGCAAGATCTTCAAGTGAAATCATATGCGCGGACGAAGTGTAAAACTTTTATCGCTGCGCGACGTGCATGCTCAATTCCGTGTAAACACTGCAAATCCAAGTGTAGGACAGGTCGACACTTTAAAGCGTAGACCAGTTTGTCCTACGCTTGCAAGTGTCGACCACTTGTGTCCGACGCTTTGAAGTGTCGACCACTCAGTGTCCGACGCCTGCAAGTGTCGACCACAGCATGTCCGACGGCTGAAGTGTGGGGCCACAATAGGAAACTCAGTGTAATTTGCCGTAGGACAAACAGTGTCCTACACATGCAAGCGTCGGACAGAGTGTGGTCGACACTTCAAAGCGTCGGACATAGCTGGTCGACACTTGCAAGCGTAGGACAAACTGGTCTACGCCTTAAAGTGTCGACCTGTCCTACACTTGGATTTGCAGTGAAGCTATATGCACAAGAAAAAAGGAGAAAAAAACCTTAACAGTCATTTGGGGTGAAGAAATCTTAATGTCGGGAATGTATAGTATTCCAGAAGAGCTGTGGCCTGGAAGAGCATGAACATGAATGTGAGTCAGAAATCACATTTTCTATGATGAATGTACGCAGTGGCTAGATCTCATCCACTGCGTGCATTTCTGACTTGCGTTTCTATTCTTCTTCCGGGCCAGACCTTCTCCGAAGTGCTCTAATGAATTCACTTTTGTGTCTCTCTGACTAATAGATCGAAAATTCTCAATTCAACTGCATTATATAGAACCTTCTTTGCTTGCAGATGCTTGGGACGATTGCTACATACGAGATTCTTCTCTTCCAAACATACCGATCAGAAGTACACTCTTAGAACACATGGATATTTTAAATTAAGTTTCTACCTTAGACCGGGTTTATTCTTGACACTTGAGTGTCTACATTGTACGAAACGTGTGTCACGGGTGTACTAAGTCTTTTTTAGCAATCTTTCTGGGCACCGATATTACCATTTGACATGCTTCTTGTGTGAACGAATAAAACCACATGCAATGTGAAAATTATTCTACAGAACTGAAGTTTATTTGGCAAAAAATTTCTCACATTTACGATTTACAATGGGCCTTTCAATGTAAGAACATTTGCATTCATGTTGCCTCGGTCGAAGCGAACAATGAACAGCGAAAGAAACCCATAAATATAGTAAGACAGAGATCGAAGCCAACGAGACTCGGCTTCTGGAAGTTTGGCACTTTCGGAGGCTAGGAGGGTCGCCCCCGCATCCGGTGCGGGTCGACGAGGACGGGGCCGCCCCTCTCGCACGAGTCGCAGCCGACGTCGCCCCGGACCAGACCCTCGGCCTTGATCCGACTGCGGAGGGCACTGCACGCCCGCGCGTTGTGGCAGTTGAAGCTGCAACAGAGAAGATCAATTCGACGGCTAGTTCGATCGCCTCAAAGTTAGAATGCCGAAACTTGACTGGTGAAACAAAGGCATTGAAACTGTGCCCTTCAAGGGTGTAAACGATTTACGCCCCTGGAGCGGCGTGAATCGTTAATGTCTTCTGGAAGGGCACTAAAACTTTGCTTAAAATTCCTTTACTATTCACGCTCTTCTCAAGGGCATAAAACGATTTATACCCTCAAAGGGCGTAATAGAGTTTATGCCTTTGTTTTGCCAGTGCTGGCATGCCTTGCACCCACTGAGAATGTAAGAGTCGTGATAAACTAAAGGTTGGGGTGAAGTATTCTTTATCATTCATATTTGGGCGATACCATCGAGCTATATACGTGAGTAACTGATACACCCTTCATCGACCGAATTAGGGTCAGGAAACCTTTTTCACACGAATTTGGGTGCTCACCCGAATGTCGGTGATGAATCATACACTGAAAATGTCTAACGGTGAAAGGCACCAACATATAATGGTGGAGATTTTCTCCATAATACCAAAATATCAATAAGATACAGTGAATTCTCAATGGTATGTTACGAAGTCAGCTGCACCACCATAATATGGAACATTTTCACCATTATATGGAGAATTTTCACCGTACAACATTTCGAGTGTACCTCGCCGGAAATTGAGTATTGATCAAGACTACTTTTTTTTTCATATTAAGTGCTGTTAATTGAAGAATGTTACGGCATTAATACTGGAATGAGTTTTTCGCGTTCGTTTAAATGTTAGTCCTTGTCAACCTAACGGCCGTGCCAAGGTCCAATCGAACGTGACAACACTCATATTGGGCGTTATGAACCCCCTTCAAACAAGTAAATATTTTCATCATGTTATTCATAAAACAATTTAGAAAAAACTCATAAGATGCCAGAGGGCCCACAGAGCATTTTAGATGGGACTATATCCAAAATTAGCTGCCGTAACAAACGCTTCAGTTTGTTTAAGTATGGAACAACTAATTTTTAATTGTATCAACTAATCTGTTCGCTGGGACTGCTGGGAACTAGCAAATAGGTCTTCAAAACCACAATTGTTCTTTTATCCCTGGTTTACCTTTGGAAGTCCAGTCGCTCCAGAGGCTTCTTGGCCCTGAGCAGCTTCAACAAACGCTCTTCGTCCGTCTCGGGATACACATCCAGCGCTAGCCGGCGCAACGCGGTGCACACGGACAGAGCCTCGCCAGGGAGGCAATAGGCCGAAACAACTTCGAGTGTGGTCGCGTGTGCGCGAATCAGGGAGTCCACACCAGAGAAGTGCACCTACAATTTGAAACTTAAGTTCGCAAAGAGAAAGAATGAACTTCCGTGCCACATGCACAGTAAATTGCTTTGTAGTCTTTTGCGTATAGGCTTTGCACAAAATTATGCATGCGTTTTAAAATGCACGGATTCGTGCGTAACTAAGCACGGTAGTATGCGTTGTTGCGCATGATTCCATGAGATGAACGCGCATGCTCAATTTTGCGCAGAAGCTATGCACCAAAAAACTACGAATAGTAATGAAGTATGTTTAAGAGCGAGGGAGTAACGACTTCGGAAATCCGGCTGGCAGCAAATTGGTAATGCGCATGACCCGAAATTTTCAGGTACACACTAAATGTCTTATGTACTTTATTGTCCATAGCTATGGCCGTTTTTGTACATACAGAACTTATGTACAAATTTGTACATAAATTAGGAACAATATTTCCATATTGTGCTTAAGTATGTAAAACATTGTACCTAATTTATGTACAAATTTGTCCGTAACTTCAGTATGCACAAATACGGCCATAGGTATGGACATAAAGTCCATAAGCATTTAGTGTGTAATCCGGGATAATTCAGCGAAATCCAACGGTACTCCCGGAAAATTTTCGTTGTAATCCGAGGGTAATCCGAGTAATCCGTATTCCGGCTGACACTAAATTTACCAGTCGTTACCCCCTTGTTATAAAGGCAATGGGGAAGTGGCGCACACACCCGTTCGTACAACTTCAGTGTTTTGAGAGTGGTACTGCCAGGCCCTTCAAGCGAGGGTACTTCGTAGTCTCTGTTGTACGCGTCAAACTTGAATTTGACACTGAGGCTCGCAAGCCTTGGCAGGCGCACAGCTGCTTTTAGACTCGCACGGGTCGGATTCAGCAAAGTCACGTCCTGCGGACAGAGATTAGTATTTGCTTGTTAGTGCCACGTACACAATAATGAAGTTAAGTCGGTTAACTTATAGCCGAGCCCACTTAAAACCCTACAAATAACGCTCTTCGCAATGCAAAGGAAACGGAGGCTTTGCAGCCTACGAGGAAAATCGTTTGTAATACAGAGGAAAAATCCTTCGGGGCTGCCAAGAAGTTCTTCGTATGGTGCAAAGTATTTTTCCTTTTCCATTCCGAAGATTTTCTTCGTGGGACCCGATGTCTCCGTTTTCTTTGGAGCGATAGAGAACGTTCTTTGCACGGTAAAAACGGTACCTGGTTTTCCCAGGAGCCCTATGGCGAAGACATAGGCGATTTCCAGGGGGTTCCTGGGAAAACCAGGAACCGTTTCTACCGTGTGGAGGAATAAATCTGTGAGCCTGGCTTGAATAAATTTGCATCATCGATCATCATGGATCAAAAAAGGCCCATGACATTTGGTGTGTACGCACTATCAGCCGGTATCTTATTCTAGGTTAGAAATACACACGAGACGCTATCCTCTAGTACGCACCTCAATAAACTCCTGCCATTTTTTCATGTACTTCTCCGACGCTACCGTAGCTCCATTTAACTCCACCGCTTTTGGCTGAAAAATGGAAACGTATTTTAACATTCCGTTGTACGGTACAGACTTCCCTTTCCATTTCAAGTAAGAGTTTCGCCACAGATGAGAATCATGCGAAATCGTAGAAACCGAGCAAAGATTCGTAACATGCGTGAAATTTACAGGCCGCATGGGCGATATCAAGATTTCATACCACGATTGCGATTTCTTGCGATCAGGGGGCGGCAACGGCCTAGGAAGCGCGTGAAGCCATGCGCGAGCGAGGTGCAGGGGTTACTTATTTCACTGAAATTCAAAGGGTGAGACATCTCACCAATTTTCGGCGATACAAAATGTATCACCGAAAAAAGGTCGTACACGAATGTATCACCGAAAAAATGGTCGTACACGCATGTATCACCGAAAAAAGGGTCGTACAAAAAAGTATCACCGAAAAAACGGTGAGACATCAGCGAGATTAGCCCTTGTTTTCCTGGGGAAGTATCACCCTTTTTTCGGTGATACATTAGTGTACGACCTTTTTTTCGGTGATACATGCGTGTACGACCAGTTTTTCGGTGATACATGCGTGTACGACTATTTTTTCGGTGATACATTTTAGTATCACCATTTTTTCGGTGAGACAGTTATGTCTCATCCCTCAGAGAGTAAGATGTATCACTATTTGATTTTCAGTGTTTGCTTCGATTGTAAGATCTAGCCCGTTGATTGCAAAACGCTTTGCACAGATCAAAAGAGCACAAAATTTGAGGTGCATTGGGCCTAGTAGACTGCCCTAAACTTCCAATTCAACCGAACACAAGGGCGGTATCATTTACATCAACATGGCGCATTCGAGTCTTTTCCTGAATTTCATGATTTCTCGTGTTTTGCGGTGTTTTCACTGCACCTTAATATTAAGTAAGGGGGAGTTACGAGAAGAGCAATTAGCCTAATGCACCCCAAATTTCAAGCCCTTTCCATCGGTGCAAAGTGTTTTGAAAAACAAAGTCTAGTTTTCATAATCTCGAACAAGTGCCCAACCTCTGCACTGACGGCGCGAGCATCGCTTCACGCTTTTCTAGGCGGTTGCCATCCCCTGTTGCGATTAATCGCAAAACCGCAATAATTTTTTTTTTTTTTTTTAGAAAATTGCAGAATTACATGCACATTAAGAACAGTACACTACTCAGTGACGCTGACCCCACACTGTCAGAAAAAAGTCCGTAAATTTACGGACAAAGTTACTCTAATTTTGGGAATGGAGGCTCCGTAAATTTTCCATATTTTTACGGAGATTTTCCATATTTTTACGGAGATGAACCGCATTTTTGCAGAAATAAACGCATTTTAACGGTTTACTTCCCTCCTTCCACCTTCGATGTTAATGCAAACAGTGTCCTTTTAGACGAAAGTGATATTCTCCAAAACTGTTCGAAGATCCACTTGACCACATGCCATTAGGATCGGATAAATGGACGGAAACCCAAAGGCGAGGTCACTTTAGGGAAGGCGTACTCTTGGAACACCTAATCAGTTGGTCACCCAACCCATCGATAACGTGAATTAGTCTGTTCTTTTTGATAAGTAAGGCTTCTATTTCATTTATATACATAACTTCCATATTTTTACGGAGAAAATCCAAATTTTTTTTTTTTAAAAAAAGGAGATCTCCGTTAAAAAAATGGACAGTCTCCGTTAAATTTCCGTATTTTTACGGAGTTTTCTGACAGTGCATGCGATGAATTAAACATTCATGGCCAAGAATAGTGCCCCGGTGTGGTCGTTTGTGGTATGCAGTGGAAGCAGTATCGTGTACGCTTGAGCGATTTTTGCAACTGCCATAAATTGCAGCACTTCGATACTCAAATTGACAGACTCTAGGAAAAAATCGCATCGCTGCGTGAACTGTGGCCTTACCTGACACTTAGATTGAGTGAACAGGGCCTTCCTCGCTGCAGGCAACATGCCCCGGTTGCAGCAAACCAAGGCGGCGCACGGCGCGAAGCGAGCGAGACGAGAAAACCGTCGAGCGTTGCGATGCCAGTGGTGGCTGAAGTGTGGACTCCTGTTGGAAAAGTTCAGAGAATTGCGGTCAAGTAACTGGCGGTGCCGGATGAGGAGCTGGAGACGAAAGGGCCGTCCCGAGCCAAGTCTGAAAACCAATTGCAAAGCCCTGGAAGAAGAGAGGGGACAATTCGGTCTTCTTCAGCCAAAAGAGGTATGCCTTAGCTGCGGTCGTCGCCACATTGTACCACCACCTCCGAACATTTTTACAATTTCCTGTACTCTATCGTAGATATGCGAAGATAATTGAAGAAATGAAAGCTGCCTCGGCAAAGAAGAAAGGCCGAACTAAGAAGGACCGGATGCGGTTGGTGAAGTGCGGGGTGATCACAATGGACGGTGAAGAGCGGCTCATTTCCCCCCAGAAATCTTGAACATGGTGATATCCTACAGACTAGGCAACAAGGAAGGTGTGCTCAGGCATCTGTACTCCAGGAACCAGTTCGATGTCCAGAAAGAAAAATTTCTGAGAGTACAAGATGTACCAATGGAGAAATCAGTGGCTTTGCGAAAAATGGCAACAAAAGGTTCCATCTTAGGGGGACAAGGATACCAAAACTGCAACTCTGCAGGGCACTAGGACACAAACAGATGTGGGTGCAAAAGGCTGAACCAACTATGCAAGAGAGCGATTCTCACGTTTCGGGGTAGTTTTGGCGTCTCTGATTTGCCGAAAGTGAGAAATATCCAATTAAGTTTTTCTGATTATTGAGGTCTTGGATGATACTGGAGTTATGGCAATGGTATTTATAGTAAAGACCTTGTACTACCTTCCTAAAAACATGAGCCATAAGGTATTCCCATACGTTTTAGTGGGTGTTTTGATCACGGAAATTACGTTATCACGGAAGTTACAAAGTGTGAAAATCGGCTTTAACGGCTGACTCGGACTTGCTGTGGCTTAAAAGTCGTTCCAGGGTCAAATGATACTCTAAGCCTGACATTTAAGCGGAAAATTTTTTCACCTAGTGCTGCTGCAACATTGGGTAAAGGGTGCCACGGAAGTTACAGGTAATTGTTGATACACGCCATTTTATAATGCTCTAGCCCGCTTTGAGACCGTGTACAGCATCTTAGATTTCCGCGACCCATGCAATTATATCCCAGACTCCACTTTGATGGCTTGTGTCATGGAATGTTAAAAGTTTGGCTTGGGGAGAAGTCCAGAGCTGCCTTTTCGAAATTTGTGTAGTGAAATTGAATATACGGAGGACATTTTTCGTTGCAGCATAAGTACCTTTGAAAGAAGTCTGGCGTATTGGTCTTCGGTTGAAATTAGCTCGAGACATGCCAAGCTTCAAATCCCCATCGACAGTTGGCAGCATTTTCGAACCCCACCGCCACACTGGGGGCGGGAAGTTCGAGTATGTTCCCTTTGGACAATCACGGAAGTTACATTTGGGGTATTCCAAACGCTACGTAGACCAATCCAACGAACGAGAACTTTTCGAAATGTGTGCGTTTAGTGGGCAATGGCCCTCCCTAACATCAGAAACAAACCCCATGTCGGTATCTGCGCTCGTTTGGGCACAGGAGTCAGAAGAAACGAAACTACCCCGAAACGTGAGAATCGCTCAAGAGCAAATGCCACAACAATAGAAACTGCAAAAATAATGATTCCCCTCCCCCACATGTGTCTCGGTATCTACCATGCAGTGGCTAAGGACATATCTATCCAAAATAAGTTGGCTAATGTGGTCCTTAGCCGGATAAGGCCGTCCTTATCCGGCACTCGTTGGCTGATGATGGCCGGACCCTGGATAAGGACGACTTCAGCCGCCTAGGGACGACATTAGCCGGGCACCCGTCTAGCCGTAACATATGCAGTGACACAATAAAATCGAATAAAGAATCACAATTGATATTTTTACCGTAATTTGAGCAAAGCTAAATCATTTATTCAAACGCATGTGACACAATCCTGAAAGTAGCGTGACGTTCCAACGTCACGTCCCGTTCCCGGAATGAGTGTTGACTTGCCTGTAGTCGGTGACTTGGTACTGCAGCTCACGCTGTCGCCACACGTCCCGGTGGCGGGCCGCCTGCCGCCAGGACCGGCAGGTTTGCCCCACCGACACCACGTCCTCGTGGTCCAGCAGGGACAGCACTTCGCACAGCACGGTGTGAGGTAGTGCGGGCCACGGGCTGCCGTCGGAAGCATCCTTAGCCTGGCGGGCAACATACAGCACAGTCAAGCAGTGGATGAAGCAACATATAGGCCGCACTGCAAATTCTTTCCGCACGATCTACAAACTCAAGTGTGTACATAGTACACCCCACCTGGAGTGTACATAATAAACTCCACCTGCATGTACACTCCTGGTTGACGTGTACTTGCCAAGTACACGCCAGGTGGCGCATACCTTCAGGTACACTGTTGCTGGCTCCCTGATGCAGGTATGAGCCACCTGGCATGTACTTGGCAAGTACACGCCAACCTGGATTGTACATGCTAGGCACACTCCAGGTTGGAGTGTACATGCATGTACACTCCAGGTGGAGTGTACTATGTACGCACTTGAGTTTGTATAGCGGACATGTTACATCTTCACCGGACATTATTTCCCAACGGACATAATTTTGTGGGCATTTTTTCTGCGGACATTACATCATGAAACCAGTATACCCTCACTCTCTTAATTTGCGTCTAATCCATTTTTAGGGGTTCCCAAGAACCCCTATTGTCCGAGGTCCGTGGATTCTCCCCCCCCCCTCCGATTTTCAATTAAGGGGGCAGTAGCACTTTGTACACGCTTTTTTAATTTTTTTCGTTTTTTCTGTTTGCATTTGAATAAAAATAACTTGCATGAATGCTAGAGACAAACGGCGGTAACCATGTGAAAGATCAAACTTTTTGCAACAATTTCAAAAAAATATATTTTGGTTTAGCGTTAAGGGAGGCACTTATATGAGGGACGTAAGAAAGGTCTGCAAAATCATACATGGTGTCACTGCGCGCACGATTTCAGCCAAAGTTTTCAACTTTTTTTCAATCGGTAAAGTGCATAAAAAAAAGCATAAAATTACCTACAAAATGAACCACGGGGGTTAATATCGAGCCAAAAACGCTGGTAGTAAAAGGTCAGTTTTCACAAATTTTCTATTGAATGAATTTTTCCTGTTCGATACTAAATATCTAGTAGCATTTTTCATCCGATATTCACCCCCGTGGTTCATTTTGTAGGCAATTTTTTTAACAATTTTTTAAACAAATTTTTCAACAAAAAATTGTTTTTATTTTTTTTCTACAAAACTATTGCAGATATAAAGCCCATTCTAGTCAATTCTATGACACTACTGGGGATGAGTCTCCCTGATTTTTTCCCCACAGATCTGAGCAAGTATGCAAACAAAATCTTACGAGAAGCAAAATTTTAAACGTTTCGACTAAATCTCCAAAAAATGTCCAAAGTCACTTTCCCTTAAGCCAAAATGAAGCTTACTCAATTATCTAAAAGGATTTTAACACAGAAATTGTAAAATCTTAATCCGTCTACATCAAAATTTTTTTTTTAAAAAGTGCTTTTAACATGTATGAGCCCCCTTAATTTTCGTGGGTTGGCACCGATTTGCTTGCCGTCTGCGCCCTTTCGAAAATCGCGAGGCTGAAAAAACGAGTAGGCGCGCATTGAAACTGCTCCTCTATAGGTTGCTAAGGTTGGATTGTTTGGCATACTTTTAAAGACTGTGGTAGTCTTGTCACGTTTTCCTCAATTCTGTAGAACAGTTTTTACTCACAACGTAAAAACAGCACGATGGTTGGTTTGACAAACTTTATAAACTCGAGAGGGGTGATTTCGGAACGCGGGTGACTTTCGTTTGGCGAACATGAGCACTGTAAGTCGCGAGATGGAGTGAGGTGGTCATGGTGTTAACTGAATCAGGTTTGACCAGAACTCTTTTCTATTGGTTAGTTTGAATTTAGCGCATGCGCACTTTGAAATTTTTGGATTTTCTCATAATCATTGAACAGTTGACACTGGCACGATCCGATACATGACTATTTCAAAATAGCCAAATGTGAAAATGGGAACACCTTGCAATGCGATTAGCATTGGATCTTTTGGGGGTTCCGACGAAGGAGGACCCCTATTGCTCTTGGCGGCTCAGATTCTTTTTTTTTTCCGGTATCTTCTGATTGGAAAATGGATCCCGCCAAATTACTCGTTATAATAATCAAATAAAGATTCCTGAAAATTTCACAAAATTATCTTGAGAATTTAACACTAGAAGCGCCGAACGGGCCAATTTGACCCATTTTGAGTAATGAACTGTAATTTCGACTTTTCAAAATGAAAGTGGCAGCCCCCTAATTTCTGACTTTTCCTAGAATGATGAAATGCGTCTAAATTCGAAATCTGGACGTTCTCGGACCATATTTGACCGAGATAAATTGACTTTTACCGTAAAGCGCCAAGCGGGCCAGATTGACCCACACGGCACTTTGACCACATTTTCGCGTTTCTACACAACGTAACGAGCTATGAACTGACTCCTCACCACTAAAAATAACTTACGTCATATTAGGAATGCGTTAGGTCCGCGTTTATAAAGAGGTAGGCAACCCGCAATACATTTTCTGGCTGGAGACATCGTGCAGCTTCCTTTGACGTAAACTGCCAATGTCTTAGGCATTTTGGGTAACCCGATTGACTTCTAAACGCCCAAGGGTGTCTCTCGAACACTCAGGCGCTAGTCTACCTTCAGTGGCACTCATAGCACGCTCAGCCCGAATCCTTGGGACAAAGGACTCCATCACTTACTCATGCGTAAAGAGATAAATAAAATGCCGAGGTCCACTTTGTTGCTCTCGTGTCTACCCGGGTGGAAGGAACTGAAGTTCTAATTATATCTGGGAATTGCAACTTAACTATTTGTTAGACTGTACGCCACATACTTTCTGCCTATAAAATAACTTAAGTTTTACTATATTCAATAAGTGTAGCCTATTTGCAGACGAACAGCAGTCAGACTGCAGACTGACCGATGCAGTTTGACTGTAGTTCAACTGTAATTTAACTGGTGAAACTGCAGTCAAACTATAGTTAACTATAGTTGAACTGCAGTCTGTTTACAGGAAAACTGGTAGTTTTTTCGGACAGAGCAGTCTTGTCTGCAGTTTTAATCATGGTTTCATCTCGCCAGTATTACAGAAGCTTTAACTCGAGTTTTATATTGAAGTTAAAATTATTTTCGAGAAGTATTTTCTGAATTTTAGTCACAAGTGTGGATTTGGAAATCACGTTCAAATTTAGTTCTGCAAGCCCCCACTGCCGACCCTGGCCCTACTCCTTCCATGTCCTTTACGTGGTTGTTTGTAATGCTGTGCCATCTCCGCAATGAGAGTGGAACCCGGTTGGAGGCCGGGCGGGCAAGTCGGGTGGACCAGTCCTTGCCACACGACAAGTGCTGTCGGTATTGACTAAAAATTGGAAGGAGCTAGTATAGACTAACATCGCCTTCATACGTCACCACTGCATGTCACCGCAGACTGCCTAGTGAGGTAGGAGAGTCTGAAGAACCGAGCGAATCATGCGTGGACCCAACCTAATTGTCGCCCGTAGACGCCATCGAGTGCCAACACGGAATTCCGTTTTTCTCCACTTCTGTGCAATATTCTGATTCAAATTTTTCTCTAACGTCTAAAGCAGATATTTACTGAAGTGGCAGATGGTGTAACTTGCAAAAATAACTTAATTCACTAGCCTAAATAAGAAATCCCGTTTGACAAACACTCACAGCGATCCAAGCGCCACCTAGCGGCAGGTCCTTGAAACCTGGCCTTGCAGCTCGGCGGCTGACAGTAGACCACACGGTGTGGTGGGATGAGGATTTTTCCACAGTTTGCGCACTACCCCGACGTCTAAGAATATCGCAATAATTTTTATGCTCAACGTTAAATTTTGGCTTCACCCCGCCATGCTTAATCTCAGAGAAGAAAAACCATATTGATCGACGTACTGATCCTTGCCTTCCAGTCGTGTCGGTTTTCAATAGCCCCTTTCGCTCGTCGCCGAGTGAAGAACAAAAGTACTCTAAAAGCCCGGAACCAGTAGCGCGCCACCAAGCGGCCGTTATAGCGAACTGTCAAAAGCTGAACCCTGATTGGTCCAAGCGTAGGTCCGAACGAAGTTCACAGCATCGGCCGCTAGGTGGCGCGCTAGTAGTCCCTGCACTGTGATTACTTTTGTTCTTCAATCGCTTCCTCATTCCTGACTGCATTGAAAAGGTATACTATAAGTGTAAATTGAAGCGTAATGGTGTCTAGACAATAATCATGCAGATAAAATTACAGATAAAGCGTTGATATACTTGAGTCAAAAGTAGTATTTTAACACACTTTTGAAGTATTGTTTAACTGAGCAATGGTAAGTGTAACATAGCTATAGATCAAGCTAAAGTTTCGACACTATTTAAGAACTGAACTCTTAACTGGAAAAAAACTGCAGTCAGACTACTATTACGAGTACCACCTGAACAGTACACAAACTTGTAAATAATTACAGAGTTTTTTTACACTTTGACTGCACTGAAGACCGCAGTTTGTGCACTGCAGTTTTTCACTGTAGTCGGTACTCAGTTAAAACTAGACTTCCTTCCACCCGGGTAGTATTTCAGAGTAATTCACTTGCCTCCGTACATTTTAACTAGTTCGACAACAATTCATTCCCTAGATGTCTGTACAAGCCGGTCAGGACGATGGACGACACGGAAACCCATCTCAGGGATACAGCAGGAGTAAAACCAAAAGTAAAACTGGTTGGGACAGATCACGGAATGCTAGTTGACGAAAGGACGCAAATTAGAACCTACTACGCGCCTTGCTGGTTGTGGCGAGTTAATTGAGTACCCGAGGGTGTTTACACATGTCTCTTACATTCCAGCCCTTTTAGCACATACTCAATCGAGCACTCAATCCTCCTTACTATGAGCTCTCCGTTGCTATGAATCCTGGTTTCCGGGCATGCCTTGCAGCTATGCTTTGAAGGTTTGGCCAGGTCCTAATGGTCTACGGTTCAGTAATTTGATTAAAGGTCACTATCTCGATCATAAGGCGATTACAATTATGCCATCTATTATCTTCAAAAACGTTTCGGCAACGAGGCACAGTAGAAAACACTAAAACAGCAAATCATGGTTTGCGGGTTGCCTACCTCGTCCCCTGTGACCCCTGTGCACCAAATTTTATCCTTTGACTTGCTAAGGGTCTACAAATCCGTTTTAGGTTCCCTTTGAGTCGAAATGACGGTTCAAGAAATGACATGTACGACGAAAATGCCCTTGGGTCAAATTGGCCCGCTCGGCGCTTTACGGTAATCCGAAAACCCGGCGCTTCTAGTGTTAACGTAAACGACTAAAACATAAATTTGCAACAATCAAGCATCGTTATCTGTTCACATTTTCCAGAAACGTTTCAAAGAGAAAATGTGCCACTCCTCAAAACTAAACCTCCTGCCTTATCAAAGTTACAAGAAATCGTCTGTGCGCTGAGAAAATGGTTAAAACATGAAAAAAAGTCTCCATGGCAACGACACGGTGCCATCGTACCAACTGTCAAAATTTAAAGTCGCTAATAAAACGAAATCAAAACGCCGTGAAATTCGAAAATTCCAATGCTGACGCATTGCGCGATGTCCCGACATTGGAACATCTTTGAAGTCTGTCAGTAAAAAGTTCGTAGCAGAACAGACGGAATAAATTAATTTTCGGGGGTTGGCAACGATTTTCTCGGCGTCTGCGCCCTTCCGAAAGTCGCGAGGGTGAAAAAACGAGTAGTCGCGCATAGTAGAACTGCCCCTCCATTGTTGCTGAGGTTGGACTGTTTGGCTTGCTTTTAAAGGCTGCGGTTCTCTTGTGATGTGTTCCTCACTTCTGTAACCAGCACGACGGTTGGTTTGACAAACTTTATAAACTCGGGAGGGGTGTTTTCAGAACGCGGATGACTTTCGACGAACATAAGCACTGTAAATCGCGAGATCGCGAGATAGACTGAGATGGTCATTTTGTTAAATGAATCAGGTTTGGGGATGTAAAAATACCGATAGGATTCAAAGTTACGTAAATAACGGTAAAATTAACGTTTAGACGACAGACTTCAAATTGATTTCCACAACCGGAACACCGTGCAATGCGTAAGCATTGGAATTTTTTTTGTTATGCAGATATGAACTTGTCATACGATTTTCATGCCAAGACAGTGGTTCTCAACCTTTTTCGGCTCACGACCCCAAATTTATGGTCAAAAATTTATCGCGACCCCCGGGAAAATCTTCGCGACCCCACGCGACCCCACCCTCCATAAATACCCCCCCCCCCCTCCAAAAATTACAATAACAAGGCCTTTTTTTTTAATTTAAGTAACCTTCTGAAAAAGAAAAATAGACATTATTATATCAGGTCGCGCGGGGCAGTATTCCTCGTCACTGCCACTCGTAGGTCACTCTCCACCTCCAGGCGGTTCCTGTGTTTGTCCTTACTTAAGGGGGGACCCTGGTGAAAAAATGACCAAAATTGCCAAAATTAGTATTTTCAAAGTTCATAGATAAAAATGTGCATAGAAGGTTTCAGATTCAACAGGTTGAACACCTTTAAACTATGTGGGTAGTTCCTTCATCATTAGGAAAGAAATAACATTGAGATCAGTTGTCGTTGGCTTATACGCTCAACTTCACAGCTTTGCTCAGTCAACAAAAAATTTTGTCGTAGAAAGACTTCCTGCGTTCCTGGTTGACACCTACATGAGTCGTCTTGCATGGACTCTATTCATTGATGACTTGTCGACAAATTTTTGTGACGGAATCTTGATATCAGCCCTACTTTTATTAACACACACCTAAAAGTTTCAAAAAAAGGCAAAAAATTCACTTTTTTTAAATGTTAAAATTTGAAAATTGATATCTCAGGACAGAAGATGAAATTGAAGATTCCTTCACTAAAATCTCTTCTATACATCTTTAGGATAACCCAAAAAATTTTTCAAGACTTTCCGTGCCAATGAAAGACAGAGGAAGATTTTTCCCCAAAGCTCTAAAAACACTAAAAAGCCACTTTTCTCAAAGACCGTTCAACATTTTGGATTGAATTTTGTTTTATGAACTCACCATAATGAACCTAATAATCAAGCAAAGTTTTAACTTTCTGGGATTTTTTTAAAGCCTACTTGAAAGTTTCACCAGGGTCCCCCCCTTTAAAATACAAAATTGGTCCAGCGGCATGGTGTTGAAGGTCTGCATGACGGAGCGGTCAGCTTGGAGTTCCAGGAGCTCTTCAAGATCAGGTCAAGTCTCGCTTCAGAGTTCGTCGAGACGTCCTTTCCTCCAGAGAGTTAATCACCCTCCCCTCCCTACCCTTCCGAGAAGGATTTTCCCGCTTGCTCACGGCACCGGTGCAGACCTCCAAACATCCGTGCAGCGACAAACACGCAGTGGGTTTTCCAGTTTCCGCGAATCTACGTTCCCGGCAGTGCTCGGCCTGGCGGCCCCGCGCGAACCCGCCGCGACCCCAGCCACCTCGCCGCGACCCCACAAGAACTTTTCGCGACCCCATTTGGGGTCGCGACCCCAAGGTTAAGAACCGCTGTGCTAAGATAAACAGTACATTTTTCCTCGTTCCTGTGCAAAATCGCTTATATGAATTCATTCAAAAAGTTCAGGCAGCAGCACACACCATGACGGTGACGCCGTACAACAACTTGGACAAGCCATAAGATTACAACAGAACTGTGACATATCCTATAAGTGACGTTCGATCACGATTCTCAGCCGCCGCCAGGGAAGGGAGCTCTACAGGATCGTCGTCCCCTGACTTGAACACACTAAATTACCATGCAGTTTCTTGTGCATAAGCTTTGCATAAAATTGTCCATGCGTTATAAAATGCACGAACATGTGCGTTGTTGCGCACAAATTCGTGCGTTCCACGCGCATGCTCAATTTCGTGGAAAAGCTTTGCTCAAAAAATCTATGGCGTAATTTGTATGCCACACTATTAATATCTTACGGTGAAAGGCTGCACCAACATATTGTGGTGGAGATTTTCTCCATAATACTAACGAAATTCCTCAAAATATCAAGGTACAGCGCATTCTCGATGGGATGTTATGAAGTCAGCTGCACCACCATAATATGGAGAATCTTCACTGTACAACATTTAAAGTGCACCACGTTCCCAGCACAACATTTACTGTGAGTCAGGTGCTGTGCTGTCATGCACTGAGGGCCACGCCGCAATAGGGCCTCCCAGCAGATCCCCGAGTAGAATGGGAGGCCTATCCCACCGCCGAGGTAGAAAGTGTGGCCTATGCGCCGGGCGGCCAAAGCTGACGTCGTCCAGCGAGCCACGCCTGACGCAAGAGCTGTCCACATCACTCCGCCGAGCAATCGGGCCACCCGCAGGCACCCTCAAGGGCTCAGGGGGTGTTCAGGTGACGATACGGGCACGCTGTTAAGCCAGTTAAGCTCAGCGAGTATGCAGCCCGGACAATGCGAGAGAAGCAGCGGGTGGAACGGATGCCAAACGCAGTGGTGGCCTAGGAAAGGGGGTTGGTTGGGGATGAGGCACTGCCCCCCCCCTTTCCCCGCTCACACACACACACACACACACACACACACACACACACCACCTGGTACCGTCTTGATGGCGAGGCAACAAGCATCACATTCAAAGGTAAGCAATAGCAGTAACGCCCCCCCCCCCCCCCATTTTCCCCGCGCCCCCAACGGAAGCATAGAACACAGCCCAGGTGTACACACCTGCGCAGCGGGACCGGCATCTGCCGACTGTTCCCGTTTGGGCCGCTTCTGACGCCGCGGAGCGCCCTGGGGGTAGGGGGGCCCCACGCAAAAAAAAAAGTTTCAAAATCGAGGAGCGCCGCACGGGATCTTAAAGTTCGGCCCAAAAAAAAATTTTTCCCGCATTTTTTCGATTTTTTTGGAGCATTTTTAGGGGTCGCGCAACGCGCTCAAAGTTTTTAGAAAAATAATGAATTTTAGTGAAAAATTTTTTTTGGTGCTGTAATTCGAGTTTTGGTCGTAAAGAAAAAGCGAAAAGCCGAATTGTTCGTATTGATGCCTAGAATAATTTAAAAAAAACTGCATACCGAATATGCACATGGCCTACTTTCCGGGGCCAAAAACTGCAAAAAAAATAGGGGGAAAATGCCGTATTTTCATCTTTGTAGGCAGATTTGACAACTTTCCCGCCGTCGGATCGTCTTCTCCTATGCGCCAATCGATTCCTCACACTGAGAGGACCCCTAGAAACACCCTTTGGGCTATGCAAGTAAACGACTGCCCATTTTTAGGAGCGATCAATTTTAAAAAAACGTTCGAACTTTGTGCCTTTTTTCACCTTAAAGGGGCCCGTTTTACACCCTTTTTGGCGTCCTATCGTCTTGCTCTGTGCGCCAATCGACTCCCCATGATGCGATAACCCCTAGAAACAACTTGGACGATGCGAGTAAACGAGTTCCTATGTTTCAGGATGAACAATTTAAAGAAACGTTCGAAATTAGCGTTTTTTTTTACCTTTGGGGGTTTGTTTGACACCTTGCTAGCCGTCCTAGCGCCTTGTGCTATGCGCCAATCGATTCCCCATGATGAGAGAACCCTAGAACCAACTTTGATACAATGGGTTGAGGATTGGCTACCTGTCGGGTGCCATCAAATCAAGAAAAGCATGAAAGGGACCTCTTTTTAAGCCGTTTTGGCCGGGTTTTGCACAATTTGCAGCCTTAACCGCCATCTGATCACCGCCAATCAGGTATTAACCGTTTCCTTCCATCGTCCAAGGTGTTTCTAGGGGGTTTTTTCATCATGAAGAATCGATTGACGGATAGAACAAGACGATAGGACGCCTAGAAAAGGGGTCAAACTGACCCCAAAAAGGGGAAAAAAAAACGAATTTCGAACGTTTCTTTAAATTGTTCACCCTGAAAATAGGAACTCGTTTACTCGCATCGTCCAAGTTGTTTCAAGGGTTATCGCATCATGGGGAGTCGATTGGCGCACAGAGCAAGACGATAGGACGCCCAGAAAGGTGTCAAACTGGCCCTTTAAGGTGAAAAAAAAGGGACAAAGTTCGAACGTTTTTTAAATTGATCGCTCCTAGAAAAAAGGCAGTCGTTTACTTGCATAGTCCCAAAGGTGTTTCTAGGGGTCCTCTCAGTGTGAGGAATCGATTGGCGCATAGGAGAAGACGATCCGACGGCGGGAAAGTTGTCAAATCTGCCTACAAAGATGAAAATACGGCATTTTCCCCCTATTTTTTTTGCAGTTTTTGGCCCCTGGAAAGTAGGCCATGTGCATATTCGGTATGCAGTATTTTTTAACTTATTCTAGGCATCAATACGAACAATTCGGCGTTTCGCTTTTCTCTTTACGACCAAAACTCGAATTACAGCACCAAAAAATATTATTCACTAAAATTCATTATTTTTCTAAAAACTTTGAGCGCGCTGCGCGACCCCTAAAAATGCTCCAAAAAAATCGAAAAAATGCGGAAAAATTTTATTTTGGGCCGAACTTTAAGATCCCGTGCGGCGCTCCTCGATTTTGAAACTTTTTTTTTCGCGTGGGCCACCCTACCTGGGGGTCCTCTGGCGGCTGGCCGGCGTCATCATGCACGGCGCGCGAGGTTGTCGGCCGGCTGCGACGCGCAGGCCGCGCTCGCGGGGAGGGGCGGCACGGGCCGGCCGGCGGCAGGGCCTCGTCCCCGGGCATGGCGCCTCGCTCGCGGTCCGGCGCGCACTGCCGCTGCCGCTGCCACACGGCGGCGGCGGCGCACGCGCGGCGCGGCCCAGCGGCTCGATGGCGCGCCGCAGGGAAGGGGGAGGGAGAGAGAGAGAGATGTCGAGCCAGGGGGGGGGGGGGCAATGATGGGCGGAGGCGCGTTGAGGAGGTGAGGTGGGAGCAGCGCTGCTAACGTCGCTGTGTGGCCGCACGCCGTCAGCGTAGGCAGACCATCCTACACCGGCGCCCGTTGGGTCACGTTCGCTCGCAGTCGCGAGATGGACAACACTGTTAAAAATAATCGTAAATTTACGACATTTTTTAGAACAATTATGTCGTTTTTAAACGACATATTTTGTTACGACTTAAGTCGTAAATATACGACTTGAGTCGTAAATGTACGACATATTTGTCGCTAACTTTGATAGCAACACGTTTCGTTTTAAAACGAATTAAGTCGTAATTTTACGACTTAATCGTAAGTTTACGAACAATCGTAAATTATCTTTGGAATACGTCGTGCAGTTATGACTTCAGTCGTACATTTATGACTCTTGTCGTAAATTTGTGCCATGAATCGTAAATGAACGACACAAATCATAAATAAGTGAGCAAAATTGTAACTTTTCACCAACTTTTCGGGGATTTCAGGTGTCAAAATATGTAATCGCGATTACGACATTGTCGTAGAGAAATAATTTCTTAGTCGTTCAGTTACGACGAAGCAGTTTAAGAACGATTTCCGTCGCTATGAAAATTAGCGACTTTTTTGTCGCTAATTTACGACAGAATTTCTAACAGTGAATCACACGGTCACACCTGCAACTGGTCACGAATGTTCATTCCTATGCCTTCGCCTCTCAAATCCATTACATGACGCCATCGTCAGGGTGAGTCATAAATTCTGATCCCCCACTTTTAATGGCGAAATGGAATCATAGGGACAGTATTAGCTCAAGGCGAGGCCTTATAGGTCGAGCCCGTAGGGGGAGTATTTTGCGGACAAGTGAATTTGTTCGTGTTTGGAGGATTGCTGTGGGTGATAAATCGTCAAAATCACAATCACTCCAAGATTTAGTTACAAATGCTCAACTTACAAGAAAATCAGGAAAAAGTGAAATTGTTAAGACCACAACATTTACATGGTTTGTCTGCACTTAAAACATGTAAATATTACAGAAGAAAGAAGAAAGTGAACATTCTCAGAATATCTCCGAAGATAACGTTGGTGACTGATGAAGAACAGATTGAAGAATATTACAAACAGAAAGTGCCATTGCACATTCCATGGAGAAATGAGGAACAATTCACACAACAGAATTTGCCGTGGAAACAATTATATACCCATTACACAATATTCCCCATATTGAAAACAAATTTTGTTTTACAAGAATGTTCATTGCCTAATGTACACACAGTCAGCGAAGAATATGATGATTTCAATGATGACAACCACGATCAGAACTTAGAAGCTTTCATGGTTGCAGCACGAATGGGACCAAACAAGAATGGTTCACTAATTGAACTTGGTTTGAGACAGATGGATATTGGACATGACTGGTCAAATGGTTCGCAAGAATATTAACAGTATGGTTCATTTAAATATTTAGAAAATTTAATTAGAACGTCGAAGCAAGTAGCAGGATTCAACACAGAGGACAAACATTTTGATTCAACAATGTACAATTGAACAACAGCAGGTCATTACAAAAAACTTGCTGGTGTTGCTGCTTTTATCAATTGTAAAAATTGTTTCGATTTTCTTGCAGAATCCAGAGAAATTCCATCATTCTGCAATCAAACAACATTAGTAATTGAGAATTTGCTTGTAGGGTAAGGTGCCCAGTGATGGCCACTTTTAGCGCACTGATGCCCCTTTTAAACCCCTTTACTGTGTGTCCTGCACGTCATACCGGTATAAAAATTTTCAGGGACATACAAGAAGGATAGAGTAAAGGTTCCCAGGGTTGAAAACCAGCAAAATAAAATTTATTCTTTGAGAAAAAATTAACCAAAATATCAGTGCAGTTTGCCCAGTGATAGCCAGGGACCCGGCCCTGTGATGGCCACACTAGGGTTTGAGCGCTTTGTTAACGTTTTTGACAGTTATTGAACCCACACTGAAAATAGAACCATACTTTTGACCGCTTAAACGGTCTTACTGAAATGTACGACCGAAAAAGGGTCATACTTCGATGTATGACCGAAAAACGGTCATACTTTATAGTGTATCACGGGTAAATGCTGATATATCCCCAAGCTAAACAATAGCCCGCTGATGTCTGACCTATTTTTGGTCATACATTTGTGTGACCGTTTTTTCGGTCATACTTTTTTCATCACCGAAAATCGGTCAGATGTCTCACCCTTTGAATTTCAGTGAAGAGACTCGCGCTGCTCGCTGGGGGCTCCGCCCCCAGACCCCCGCATGTGTGGGGCGCGTGCCGAAGTATCAAGAACCTATAAAGCCCCAATCCGACTGACTCACTGACTCACTCACTCACTCACTCATAGAAATGTTTGGGGTGAAGGAGTGGTCGTAGAGACTTGCGGTTTTTTCCATTCGATTCCAAATTTTATGGGAAAATTGGGAAAAATCCCAAAAGTTGAAAATTCCTCACCGTTTCCGAGAAAACCTACTTTATCTACAAAAAAGGGGAACAAATTTCTCACCGTTTCCGAGCAAACCTACTCAATCTTCGAAAAAAGGGGACCGACCGACTAAAAATTTTTATTCGCCCTATCGGTAGGTCTGGTCGAGACATTTCCAAAACTGTGCCGCAATCTGGTCCCCGTCACCGGCAACATCCTAAAAACGATATAATAATATATAAAAATAGGCCTAAATTCAACAAAATCCACTCAATCTTCAAAAAAGGGGACCAACCGACTAAAAATTTTTATTCGCCCTATCGGTAGGTCTGGTCGAGACATTTCCGAAACTGTGCCGCAATCGGGTCCCCGTCACCGGCAACATCTTCAAAAACGATTAAATAGGCCTAAATTCAACAAAATCCACTCAATCTTCAAAAGAGGGGACCAACCGACTAAAAATTTTTATTCGCCCCATCGGTAGGTCTAGTCGAGACCTTTCAGAAA